ATCCCTTGGGCTTTTACTTTCTTGTGTGAGCTGTGAGCGCCTCCAGCAAAATGACGCGTCCGTGAGTGAGTGCAGCTGCATAGCTTTGTGATCTGCAGATCTTTCGTTGCCATAAGAATAGGGACAGCATTACTGAGCGGTCGAAGGCTTCGGTGGGGTCAGGAACACTGGCAAAAACAGCTTGAAACATGCGTTTTCCAAGCCTTGAGCAATACATTTTGGGGGTTCTGGATTTGGGTTCGGGGACTGGGGCCAGGAACACGAGCAGAAACAGCTTGAAATGCGTTTTCCAAGCCTTGAAAAGTATATTTTTGGGGCCTTGGAAACCAAACTAAACTTTCAATTTTGATTTTCGGGTTCCGGGAGCATTGAGCTCCAGATCTCTTGACACGAAAGCCAAATGCGTTTCGCTGCATTTGGGCTTGGTCGGGGGCTTCGAGAGCTCCGGAGTTGGGCCAGGGGCACCAGCAAAGCTGAAACAGCTCTAAATGCAGAAAAAGCCTTGAAAAACGCATGTTTGAGTCCTACCAACCCAAAGAATTTTCAGTACGATTTTCGGGTTCACAGCGACGGCATTGAGTTCCAGATTTGTTCAAACGAAGGCCAAATGCGCTTAGCAGGCTTTGTGGGGCTTGCGTGCACATCAGAAGCTCGAGACTCGCTGACGCGCTTTGCCAGGCTCCTAATGTGGAGCTTGGACGCAATGAAAAGAAACAGACCTGCCCTGGAACCACTCACCGGAACGAACCCGAACATCTGCCCGGAACCGCCCCGCCTCTGCGCAACCTTCCCCGCGCCGAAACTCACCCTGCAACCCGCCGTCGAAACCTCACCCAGAACCCTAGAACCCGCCCCGAAACCTGCCCCACAGGCCGCCTCATCGAACTCTGCACCGAACCCGGAACCTGCCCCAGGCCTTGCCCCAATCTGCTCCAAACTTTGCCTCAGCTCAAAACCCCAAAGCTCACGCTGTTGGGGGAAAAAGCGCTTGTGTATGGAACGCATTTCGTCGGATTTCAGCTCCTGGAGGATGCGGAACTGCCGCCACTTCCACAAGTCCAGATCCAGAAGGTTTCGGCGGCTGCGTCAAGCTGTCGGTTAACGGCCTTTGGAGCGCTTCTTCTGGCACATTGGGAATTTCAGACTCGTGGGAAGGTTTCGCGTCTGGCGGAGGTCCAGTTTCCTCCACGGGTTCGGCCCCGAGGTCCGGAAGCTCCTGTTCCAGTACGACATGCGTCTCCTGCCTCTGAGGTGTCAGGTGATGTTTTTCATTGGCAGGATGTGAAGCTGCATCCGCACAGAGGCTGCGAAAAGAACGAACCAGTTTTTTCGTTTGGTCTCCGTCGATTTTGCCTTCGACGCTTCCCTCTGGTCCAGGAAGCCTCGGCGACGCGGGGCGGTTGGCCCCAAACTGAGCATACTCTCCAAGCGTGCTTCCATCTCCGAACCCTTTAATGTGTGTGTGGCGGAGGATTCAAGGCCGGTGCGTGTTTATGTGTTTGTGTGTGTGTGGGGAACCCTGTTACGAAGGGACGCACTATTAAAACAAAAACAGGGGGCCAGGCCTCCACTTGCGAAACTGGTCCAATGAAGCTACGCAGCTGGAGGGGAAGCAGTGAGAGATGTCTCATGGTGTACCTGCTATTTCCTCCGAAGTGGCATGGGGCTAAGCCAAAAGCCCACAGAGGCTCTAAGCGGAAGCTTGGAAGGCATAGCAAGACCCGCCGTCACGTTGATCCTGACTGACCTCTCTAGACGCCTCAGCCCTTTTGAATGCACAGCAAGAAGCAGCAGGCTGCTTGCCGGGACTTGGGGTGCACCTAAATCCCGAACTCTATCCCCGTAGTCGTTGGTTTCCATTCGTCGTTTCGGCAGTCCGTGGGCTAAAGCTCGCCGCTGTTGCCCAGTCTCTCATATCGCAAAATCGCAATTCCGGACCACGACATGTCCGGTGCGGGGCATTTCTACAATGGGCGGGAGGCGTGTGCAGGCTCCCTCGCATGGACAATGTCAGCTTGTCCTCCGGTCCTTCTTGGTGCCTCTGGCACTCCTAGGCATGCGCATCTCAGCCAAGAGCTGCGGGCGTTTGGCGAGGAACGCTACAGGCTGACACTGAGTGAGTCACGACTGAGTTGGCGTAATTCTTGTGGCGCACGGCACTGCGGAAAGGATGACATGAACTCGGCGCTGCTGCCCTGCTAGATACATCTCAACATTTCGTGCAGGGTGCGACCCCTTCAGCCGCAGCGGCCAAAGCCTCTCCGCTGCACTAGCGTGGGGTGTTTGAGGATCAGTGCTTGTCAGACAGGGATGGCGCCAAGATCCGCTAAGTACGCAAGCCGGCGTTGGTTTCCATGAACGGAGATCCGAAAAGAACTTCGAAAAGTCAAAAACAAGTCGAAAAGTTTTCGACTTGTCGCGTGTTTGTCTGCTTTTCGACACTTTTCGGGCTTTTCCTGTCCTTTTCGATACTTTTCGGGCTCTTCGGCTTTTCGGTTTTTCCTGTACTTTTCGATGCTTTCGGACTTTTCGGGTTTTCTTGTACTTTTCGATACTTTTCGGGCTTTTCGGCTTTTCGACTTGTCGGTTTTTCCTGTACTTTTCGATACTTGGCGGGCTTTTCGACTTTTGGACTTTTCGGGCTTTCCTGTACTTGTTCGATACTTTTTGGGCTTTTCGGCCTTTCGACATCTCGCGCTTCAAGTTCTGACCTGGCTGAGGCAGGACAAACAAAAGTTCTGCAGTGACCCTCTGAACCCGGCTGGCTGAAAGAAAGAAAGGCCATCTACGAAGTCGCTAAGCCCGGTGCACCACTAAGCAAAACAGCCGCATCAGACGAGACTGACATGCAGGTAAGGGGCCTTGAACATGGCCTAACAGGGCTTCGTTTCATCAGCAAGTGATATAATATGCATGTCGCGTGGCCTGAACCTGGCCTAACATGGCGAGACGCTTCGCCCCGAACCCAAAATCCTTGACACTATCCATTTGCGCCTTCCATATCTGCAGGCGAAAGTTATGCCAAGATGCTTTCAGATCTTCATAACTTGCTGGGGTTTCGTATTCTGGAGTGTTGTGTTTTCGACTTTTGACTTTTCGACTTTTCACGTTTTGTTGTTCTTTTCGACCTTTCACGTTTTTTTGTTTTTTCGACTTTGACTTTTCACGTTTTGCTGTTCTTTTCGACTTTTCGCGGCTTTTTGACTTTTGGGGTTTGCCGGTTATTCGCGCAAAATCTGCATCCAAAGCCACTTTTCGCTTTTCGACTTTTCGTGTGCCGTTTGGCATTCTCCATTTATCCGTGCCCACAGGCGTTCGCAAACACAGGCAACCGCACACACCTCTTGTTACGAGTAGTGAGGTTCTGCCGCTGCTGCCGGGCAGTGTTGCTTTGGATGCCTGTGGCACGACCCTTGCCTAATTTCTTGTTTCAGACTGATGGAAGTTTTCCCAGATATTTTGGTGCTGACTCCGCATCTTGTGGATAGCTGCTTGAGGCTTGCGGACACGGCCATAACTTGCTCTTGCCTGCACTTCTTGCCCTCGGCGATGCTGGAGGCACCGGCTTCAGTGCATGTGAAACGCTGGAGCAGACTAGCTGCGGCTTTGGCCCGTGGGTCCTGATAGCAGGAAGATGTACGGCGGCGTCGGAGCGTAGCAAGCCACGAGCCCACTGCTCAGTAAAGAGGGCAGCTTTAGTCTGCAAACGGTTGCGTTGCCATCTTGCTTCAGCAGACTCTAGGCGTTGTATCTCAAGCTGCTTCTTGCAGCTCTCAGATTTCTGCATTGGAGCATGAGGCTCGGAACCGCTTCTGGCGATGAGGCAGCTTGTGGCACCCAGACTTGGACTTTGTCAGTGTTCCCTGGTCACACCTTCTAGATCTTCTGGCCGCACTCGTCCCTGCGTTACATCGCTCCCTTCAAGGAGGCCTGTGTTGGTTGATGCCTAAGGCCGAGATGTGAAGGTCTTCGTCTTGGCGGGGCAGCCGGGTCAGGTGAAGGCCCCGGTCATCACAACCGGGAGGCCTGAAGTTGCGCCTTTTGAGCTGTTTGGTGGCTGGGGAGCCTATCGGACATCGGAGCTTCCAGTCCCGCTTGCTTTAGGGCTGCGTGTTGCAATTCACTTGATTTTCAAGTGTTCAGGGCCGAGGTATGCGCCCAACCTCTACTTCAGAGTCATAGTTTGCATTGATAGCTCCTCCTTTGCTTCGCACTGCCTGCCTGGCGTGTGTCGCCAGCTCCATGACTTGGTTTTTGAGGTCCTTTCGCATCACGCTGAACTCTTTCTCCTTGCGCGGGGCGAAGGCGGACAGGGAGCGGAGCGCAGGGACGGCCGGGGTACGGCGGGTAAGCGCTCCGGCGTAGTAAGGCCGCTTCGAAGCTTTGCTTCGCCTGGTGGCTCTGGCACACGTGCGAGTCCCAGCACTCGCAGAGTGAAACTGAAGCCGAGAAGCGTGGGAAAAAGTGCCACGGTGCTCTTCTTATCTCTTCTTGGCCTCGGCCTCTCTCCCCTCGTTCCGAGGCTCCTCCGAGTCGGGCCGGGGCCGCTTTGCGCTTTCCGGTCACGCGAGAGTCGCCGCTCGGAGCCCTGCAAGAGGCGGGGCCCGGGGCCCCCACAGGACGGATGGATGTTGCGCTCTATAGGGACTTAGCGGGCATGATCGCTTATGCCCCGCTCTGGGCCAGGTATGGAAGGAAGTGGCGATGGTGGAGCTCCCCCGGCTTTTTCAGCTCTCCGTTCGAAATGGCGGGGCAGGACGGGCGTGGATTAAAGCGATGTGCCGGTCTGGAAAATGCTCCCCTCCAACAGGCTCTTGAGAAGATGCTGTCCCAGCGGCATGTAGCGGTCGTACCGAGCTGCAAGGACTGGCTCTGCCCGGGAAGGAGAAGTTTCTGGTGGAGGAGAGGTGTCGAGAACTTGGCATTGGAGCTGTGATGCCCAATCTATCCAGTCGCCGTCTCGCTTCTCGTTTCACGTTGAAGCTGGCGGAGGAATCCGTGCAAAGTCGTCACAGAAGTCTGTTTATGTCCGAGTTTGCCATGCGTCCTGTGGCCATTGCGGCTTCTGGGTAGCTTGTTGATGTGGCACTGTTGACTTCCCGCGGCTGGTTTGCAAGAGTCCGTGGGCAGAAAAGCTTTGTTCTCATCCACCCTCACTTCCACATTCTCTGCCAACTGCGCGCATCTCAATTAGAGTGCAAGCCAAGTTGCTGGCAGTCGCAGCTCAGGAACCGTTTTTTCGTTTCGGCATGGCGATTGGCGCCCTGCTGGCAGCATCAGTGGTGCTTGGGGCAGTGGCAGCTTGGTTCTCAACAGGAATAAGGGGCGCTCCGCTGCCTCCGCAAAGTCTTGCCCTTGCTTTTCCCTTGCCACTCCTAGATCCGCGACGAGGCGAGCTGCCCGACAACGAGCGGCTGCAAAGCAGCCGGCTCGCAGAATTCGGGTCCCTTGCTTCTGCAGGCCAGGCGCAGCTGGCGCTAGGATTCCGGATGGATGCTGTGCGGTTTCAAGTCTTGGAGAGGGATTGGAGTTGTGACCAAACAGTTTCTGGCCAGGTTGACACTTGCTGTATTCGTAGGAGCTGTAGGTTTCACCCTCGGCAGCACGCCGTGGCAGCAGCTCTGCTGCAGCTGCCCTTTTGCTTCTTATGGGCCACAGGTTGGCGGCAAGGAACTTCGGCGTGTGGAGGCCCACGTGGCCTCATGGGTGGCAGGAGCCTATGAGGACACTCCCCTTTCACAATACTGCCACATTTGCCAGTGTTTCCTCTTTTCGTTTTGCTTCGCTCCGCTTCGTTCACTGTTGTGGCTTTGCAGGACTGTCGCATCGTGGAGCGCGGGGGTCGACCTCGAAAGGAGCGTGTGGGTTTCCAGCACCGCTGCCTGCCAGCACCCGGCGCCAGTCGTTGCTTTGCCCGTCTCCGGCCCCTTGACATGGCTCAGGTCCTGTGACCTGCCGGTCTGCCGTGGATGGAAGCGAATTGCCGGATGCTGCTTGTGCAGGCTCCTTCTCCAGGGCCGCAGCGCCGCAGTGCTCACCGTGGCTTGTGCAGGCCTCCCTCCTCCTCGGCGTTGGCGACGCTGCGATTGTGGTATCGTGGTTTGCAAGCCCGGAGAAGAAGAAGGTTGGGGCCCTGCATTCGTGCATTGAGTCGAGAGCAGATTTATTTGTGCCCCAGCGAAAGGTCACTTTACACGCGAGCGGTGGTCAGAGCTGGGTGCAGCCGCCTCCGGCAGCCGTCAGCTCAGTTCGACCGGATGCTGCTTGTACGAGAGTGGTGTTCTCAGGGCCGGGGTTCAGGAAGATTCGATGAGCGCATGAGATCGAAGCAAAGATTCCAACCAACGCTCGGTAGAAAGAAGAAGCTTCCAGTATTTATGAAGCCATGCTAGTTGGTTGTGTTCTGCACGGAGCACCAATCATCTGATCCTCATGTCGCTGAGCCTCTGCCGTCCTGCGGGAAGCTGCATCCCCAGAATCGAGGGTGGTGTGGTCACAGGGGGAGGCAATGTGAAGAGACTCCACGAAGTGCGGAAGTCCGGCGAGGGCGCGTCACGTGACTTGCACTGCGGCTTGCGGCCGTGAAGGCTGATGTTGGCGTTTATGCCATCGGCGGTGTGACCCCACGAGAATCCATAGTGGCGACGGCTGCTTCGTCTTTGGCAACTGAAGCCGGCTTGCTGGTGGGCGTTGTGTCCGAAGCCTTTTTCGTCTTGCGACTTTGTGGTGTTGCAGACAGATGGCTACAAAGTCTACTCGACTTGGTTGCATCAGACCTTGCTGTTACTCGCACCGCAGCATGGAAAACACGGCGTTGTGAGTTTAAAATTGTTTGAAATCTCCAAAGCGCAAGACTCAGGCCGGGACGTCCACTTCAGCTTCCTGGGCTGCCTCTCACCGAGCCAGGATGCCCCCGCACCGTCACAGGCACGGTCCAGAGCAGAGCCCGACATCACCCTTACTCTCCGGCTTTCTCGTGGCAGGTCACGTCCTCACGGGACGAGAGTTGCATCATGTGGAAGGACCAACTCACAGTTGTTTCCCGTCATCTCCTCAGCGCACTGCGGCCAGGAAGGCACTTGCAGGCTCGGACTTCCCTTCTACCGTTGGGATTGCGCGGAAGCAGACGCATCTCGGCTCCACTGCGGCATGCACCGGATGATCCGGATGGGGCGTCCGCATGAGGTGTGAAGGCTTCAGGGTCTCAGGAGAATGCGGCCGTATCGGCTTCAGGTTATGAGCCCGCAGCTGTGCTTCCAGTTCTGCCTCGGCAAAGGCGCGCTGTGTTAAGTGCAGTAGGTCAGCAGGTGCTCCACCGGACTGACGCTGAAGTTTTCAGAGGCCTTGACCTTTTCGGTCTTCTCGGCTCCGAGTGCCGTTGCGGTGCGTCTGCCCTGAATCGTCAGGCGTCGGACTCGTTTACTTGACATGCTGTGGGGTGTTGTGGCCAGTCAGGGTTCTGGTGCCATAAAGCCGTCCTGCCCCAGCCGCCAGGCCTGGCGCTGGGGGAAGCCCCGTGCAGGCCAGGCGACACGCCGACACCAGAAGCCACATGAGAGCACGGTGACATGAGATGCCACATTCATGTTCGGATCGTCGGCAAGAGACGGCAAACGGAGAAGATGGCAGGTCTGACCATTCCCTGGGAGCAGCTGGGCGCTGCTGATGACTCTGAGTGTGCGCGCATCTATCGGTACACTGGCCACTTTGAGGACGCGATGCCGATTGCTGAAAGGTGCTCCTGTTTTTTTTTTGTGTGCCTGCCTCAGGCTGGTGGGTCCGTGCCAGATGCCCTGCAGTTCTTGACAGAGGCAGGGTGTATACGAATGGCAGCAGCAAGGAATTTCGTGATTAAGTTCCCGTGCTCTTGCAGAGTCCTGACGCTGCATTGCACCCGAAAAAGGGCGGAGGGCCCACACAAGCGGCCTACACGCGCAGTATGCAAGAGCACAGGAGGTCGGAGCCGTTCTCCGAAAATCAACCGTGCAAGTCTTGCAACGTCACTGAAGTGTTAGTCGCCAATAGCCACCTTCCACATGTAACCGTCCCGGCACCGATAACATCCGACAAATCCGATTAGTGACAGGCCGCTAGTCGAATGTGGCAGGAGTTCATAAAGACTGACATCAACGGTAGTGGGAAAGCTAAATGATTGCATGAATACCGTTCCTTCGCGAAAGGGCCGCACAGCCAGAGGCCGCTCTAAGTGTGTGGAGGTCGCCCCTCGCATGCCCATCTTTACACCAAGATCCAGTCACCAAGAAAGCAATTCTGCATGTCTGCGAGTCTGCATGCTCTCGTCTCTTTCAAGGACGACCTGGCTTACCTGGACTCTCTTGCCATTGGTGAGGTCATGACAGCAGAAGACGCCTGGCATGGGTGGGTGTCGAGTCGTGTTGAGCTTCAAGTGTCGCTGGAGATAAGGAGGAAGAAGATGTTCCCAGATCTATATGGGAGGCAGGTGCGCGTGCAGGTGATTCTGCATTGTGGTGTCTGCCTACGAGGCCGAGGTGGAGCCAAGCGGCAAAGATCTGTCGGCCCTGCAGACGACCTCTTCACGAAATCAATGCTGCTTGGCGACCAGCGACAAAAAGCCCAGATTCAAATTTCTTGCAGGACACAGCTTGCCTTGACAGTCTGGAGATCCGAGAGCGCCAAGGTCCTGTGACTGGCACCTGCCCCTGCAGCAATGCTGACTACCCGTGCTATGCGTACTACTCAGCAGGCATCTTGGGTTGTGTTGACTTTGGAGTGACCAAGCCATTTTGCAAGTAGATGCACGTGTCGATGCACAATCGCGATTCATTGTCTCGGATGCTTCGTTATTTTGAGGCGATAGATGTGCCTGTTTCAAAATCAACGGCTTCACGACTCCCGAGAACTGTGCCTCCTTCGGCGGAACCTTCTGTGGCGACTTCAGCACCACAACAACTACTACAACCACCACCACCAGCTACACCGGCCCGCCGACGACAACGACGACAGCTGCAGGCACTGCAGCTTTCTTCTGTGGAGTTTGCGTTTGACAAATTGCAGACAACTCAGATCCACCACCGGGACAGGGCTGGTCAAGGGCATCGGCTGAAGCTCGGCCCACACTGGCCGCCGGTCATTGTCATTGGGTTTAGAGAGTGACTGAGTGAGTCCCCCAAAAAAACGCAGAGTGCATATAAGGCGAGTAATCCTGGCAGACGCTGGCCCGAGAGAAGGCTAGGCCCGCATTTTGACATTTTGACCTTGGGGGAAAAGCCGCGTGTCGTTGCCCTGGTTCGCAATTCAGGTCAGATCCTCCGGGCAACACGGAGGACGTGTGGGACGACTATGCAGCTCGGTATCAAAAATCTGTCGGGCAGTTAAAAAGCCACTAGAAGGCTGCAGCTATTCCTTTGTGCAGGTCGTGATTCGCTACGCCTTCAATGCCAGCATCGACAACAACCGAAAAGACGCATTTCGCAATGCCGTGACAATGTGGAGGGTGCTGCAGCAGCACCGTAAACGTTTGCTCGATGGGGCGTGTGGCAGTTGCTCCATCTGGGACCGTTCCGTGTCGGGTGCGGGCTCGCGGGTGCAAACAGGGCCTTGGCTCCTCTGTAACCCGGCACCTGGCCTTCGACTGAGGAGACAACTTGCGTGAATCTCATTGAGGAGGAGACTCCCGCGAGGCCGAGGGGAGCGTTTCGCGCAGCTCCGCGGACGACGTTCTTGGGAGGCCCTATGTCTTGATCGGAATTTGGGACACCGGAAGCTGCTACGCCAACCTTGGGCAGCTAATCTCAAGACCAAAACCTTTCACCGCAGTACTCGAAGATATGTCGCAACCGTCCGAGGTTCAGCACCTTCTACAACAGCAACTCGTACGCGAGGATAAATCTGGGTTGGTGCAACGATGCAAGACATGCCAGGACCTCAGTGTGATGTCAAGAGCTCGAAATTGGGAGAGTTCGGAGGTTCAGCCGAAGAGATCCCGAAGTGTGCAGAACCACCGTTGATTTTTGAACAGCAGAAAGTGTAGGCTTTAAGCCCACACAGACACGGGCTGTACCAAGACCGGGAACATGGCACACGAGATCGGCCATATCCTCGGCATGAACCACGAGCAGAAGCGCCCAGATGGACCTGAGAGTTACTATGGCCCTTCGGCAGTGATAATGCAGTGAAATGCGGAGGGTGTTGAAGCAGTGGAGATGCTTGATAGACAACGTGGTCAGGTAAAGGTCCTTATCTGAACGTCTTCTGGGACTCTTGGCTGTATGCTTCCCTACCTGTGCAGAGTCCTTCGTCGTTGTCGGCTCGCGTTTGGATGAACAGATGGTCCAGGACAACATCCCGAGCAGCTGGACGTCGCAGTACACCCCCAGTGCCTCCACGTACACCGGATCGGTGCAGGATTTCACCGGCGACCCTCAGGCGCAAGCGGGATTCTTTGGCTTAGTCTATCTTCCGCGTCGGGACGTGCCTCCCTGGGCGAAAGGTGGGCTATGCTCAGTACGATTTTGAAAGCAGCTGTGCCAGCATCTGGCGTTGGCAACAGAAGCTGGAGGTTGAAAGTTGAAAGCTGGGGCGTCCCAGCACTGACGTCCCACTGAGGTATCATGCACTACGGGGGCGGCTCTCGATACGACACCATTCCCGCATCAGCAGAGTCTCGAGTTGGCCAGCGGAGTAGGCTCTCTGAAGGCCCCCGCTTAAAAAGCCGGAGTCGTGCAATCAAGTTGTCTCTAGAAATTTGGAAATTTAACGTGGGAGCGGGACGGATTGGACCTTGCGTCATGAAGGGCGGTGGTGTCAGCTCACTTGATCAACAGCCTATTGGCCAACCCACAGAAGTGCAGTACCATCTCTCGCACATGTCAGGTGACATTACTCAGATTCTCGACGTGTACGAGTGCAGCTCCAAGCTCACCACCACCACCACGACGATCACAACGACGACCACCACGACGAGCAGCACAACCACCACCACCACTACCACAACCACCACGACTTCAACGACGACAGCTGCGACCACGATGACTACGACTGCAGCTGCGTTCGTCCCTGTCAATGGCGATGGTGTCGACCAGGTGCAAAGTGTGCATCAGAGTGACTCTGTCCCTCCAGCGCAGAAAGAGGATCTGCTACCTTAAAAGGTTTGCCGTGGTGCGAATGCCGGTGATAATCAGCTGTCGCATCTCGCCAGCAGTGTTACACCTCAGCAGCAAATTTCAGCCTTTCCTGAGCGCTTTGCCCACGATACCGGTTTGGCAAAGGATTTTACAGAGCCCTAGCAGCCGAACTTCCGAGCCACATGCATGTTGCATGTATATGATCCGCAAGAGGATGCTGGCAAAGAAGTTCTGCAGGTTTGTTATGTGCAGCGATCATGGCTGGTTCGCTCTGCCTTGCAATTGTGTCATGCGCATGTTCTTTTATTTCGCAGATTCTTTTCGCCTTGCCCCAGGTACTTCACAGTGACAAACACCGGATCACTGGAAGAGTGCAAGGAGGAATGTGTGACTTGGACCGCAGGGTTCAGTCAGAGCTCTACCTCAGAGAAGAGTCTGAGAGAGATACATCTTGGATAAGTCGATTCCGTCGGTGAGCATTGAGGCCGGCTTTCAATCGCCATGCGTCGGCATCGAGTACCACTTTGGATCGCTAGTGGCTTTAGGATGACACGTGCCGATAGATTCAGGTTCCATGCATCTAGCTCCGATCCCAGCTGCACGCTGGCCAGGATCGGGCAGATGCGAGATTTGGACCAGATCCGCTGGAATCGGCGCGACAGTGATGTCGAGCGGCTACACCTGTCTGCGGTACCTTCCAAATGCGGGGAGCCCGGTGTGGGAAAAAGCGCGGAGCCGGAGTCTGCCAGTCCAGGAGTCGGAAGTCTTGCTCGACGAATGCGTGCTTTGCTGTTGTTCCTGTTCCTCGTCGGTCTCGGCAGCGGACGCTGCCAGCATGGAAGGGACAGAGACAGAGCCTGTGCAGGGCGGCTGCAGGGGCTTTCTTTGTTGTTTGAAGCTTCATTTCAGGATTTAGGGGCGACATTCTTTTGTGACTGTTGGGGTTCTTGGGCTCCCCTCTAAGTGGCATTTGCCGGCCTCCGCTTCTCTTTGCTCTCTGTTTGTCTCCCATGCGGACAGCATTTGCTTGGTTCCTGTGTGCTTCTCCTCTTCTCCTTTCATGTGAGTGGCCTTTGCAGGGTTCCTGCTCTTCCCTTTTCCCTGGTGGCTCCGTTCCTTGGGTTGGTTCAATCCGATTTCGATGGCTTACGCGCTCGGTCTCTCAATCCGGTCGCTCGGTGGCTCGATCCGGCGGCACGTCGGCTTCTCTCGACGGTTTGGCTCGATGGCTCATGCTTTCGATTTTCGGCAGGGTGCATCCGTTGTCTGTGTTGGGTTTTGTCTCATCTTGTCTCCTCCTGCAGGTGCACGGGTAATCTGCATCGGTGGTTCAATCACGTGGAAGATGGCCTCATACATCATCCATACTCCTCTGCGGCAGGCGCCGAGCACGACACTGACAACAACTATAGACCCTGCAACTTCGCCCGCATGCAGGTTGTGATGCTGCAGAGACTCACCCGATTCAGACAATCCGAGGCCTTATTTCGAGGCTTTCAGGACGACGGCTCGAACCAGGTGCCTCGTTGTGCCTGTTCCTCGAGGAGCATTCGAAACTACAAGTCTAGTTCGTCTGGTTCATCGACGGGTTTTCCTGCCAGGTGTGCCGCGGCTCAGGCCCAGGACGCACAGCTGCAGCTGATTGACCGAAGCCGCACAGCCGCTGAGTGGCCTTGAGACTCGCAGCAGGCGACAACTTGGCAGAGTATTTCATCGCGACCTGGGGGGTCGAGTCTCTGTCCGCGTGTCAGGCCTCCGAGTGACGATATCGCACACATGCTAGCAGACTGCTGATTCAAAGGTGTCGGAATAGTCAATGCCAACCAACTGTGGATAGAACACAGAAGCCAAGTCACAACAATCCATGGGCATCAGAACAGAAAAATGCATGACATGGAATTAATCGAGCCATCGATGCTCGTAGTATTGCCAGTTGGAGGATTGGTGGTTTGGCATGTATCTGGCTTGAGCGGCTTGGTGTGTTATCATACGACAGGCTGACGGAAGACTTCGAGCATGCGAAGGAGCCGTAGCTTGGACACGGCCGCAGGCTAGAACCAGGCAAGCAGCAACAGCAACAACAGCCACAACAACAGCAGCATCACCACCAACAGCGAGAAAAAAGAGCTAGGACAACATGGGTCCCGTGCCCCCGCCATTCCACACCCGGGCCAGAACTGTGAAGAAATGAGTAGTGGTGGTGGTGGTGGTCGTCGTCGTCGTTGGGGTCGTCGTCGTCAAAAAGCTGCACTCTTCAACATGGTATTGGCAACAGGGATCAGATTCACGAAGGACATCACGAGCCACAGTAATCCGGGTAGTGTCAGGTGCTATAAGTGGCACGACTCGCTGCAGAACGGACTCGAACGGGAACCGAAGAAGGGTCAACATCGCGAGGAGCGAGCGAGTGTTTCAGAAGAAAGCATATTCATTGCCAAAGGAGTCTTAAAACCAGAAGATTCCAGCCTTGCCGTGGAAAGGCGGAGTGTTTGGCAACTTCCTCCACATGCAACTTGGGATGGACAGATTTATGGTCTTAGGCCCTGCAGATTGCAGGCAGTTACTTTGTCGACGTAGCAGTTTGCTCTGCTTGAATGTGGATACAGCTTTGAATTGTTTGCCCCTTCAGAGACACCAGGCAAGGGCATCGAGTTCAATGAGGCTGCTGGCAGATGTGAAGTTTGGATGCTTGTCTGCAATGGGTGGGTTCTTGCCGACGATCCAACAGCTCTACTTGTCAGCACCGAGCTTGCATGTGGATGAGCACTGACCATTTCAGCAAGGGGTCTTCAATTTCCACAAACGCATTCCCATCCGTGTGCATGAACTCAGCAACCAGGATCCGGCCAGAGGGGATCGAAGCCACAGTGCAGGCGGACGGAGCCTTGCCAAAACTGGTCGTTCTTGATATGAAAGGTGCAGACATCGGGTTTGTTCAAGGCGCACATGGGCCCCGGCCGAGGCTACAGTTGTCTCGTCTATGTCCCGAACCTTCCGACGACAACGACCGTGGATCCCTCTCTGTTCCAGCCCATTCTGGGTGATGGCAATGGCCAGGTGGGGTCCGGGAGGGCAATGCGACGTGCAGCCCAGGATCTGCATCCGGCCTGAGCAGACTTAGTCGACAGAATAGTTGCTGCATCGCAATCTGCAGGTCTGCCGTGGTGACAGCATCGGCGACAACCTGGGATCCTTGACCGGACATGGACTTGACAGTGTTGCCGCGTGTCTGTCGGGCATTTAGGCCCTTTAGGCTTGGGACGTCCGGCATATCAGAGTGTGGTAAAGGTTTCCTGTTGCCATCTCGCAGGAGTGTCCAGGGGTTGGCACGGCTTTCGAGCAGTTTGGGGTTCGTCGGACACATCAAGGCACCATCTAAGAAGCTTTGTTGCAGAAAGCCCCTGGTTCGCAGATAAGGCTCCTATTTCACAGTGATCAACTCCTTGAACTCGATTGAAGAGTGCAAGGCAGCCTGTGTGCAGGAATCAGACTGCAAGGGGACGCCCGGCATGGATTGTATGAAGATCCGGTTGAGCGGAGGTTGCAGCTCAGGGTCCAAGTTCAGATACCTAGAAAGAACGCCGAGGAGGAGGAGGCGGAGGAGGAGCCGCAGTTATTTCGAAAGGTGAACACCATATCTGGTTCATAGAGTCTCGTTCTCATCGCTTCGTCTGCAGCATCTTATTTTTGCGACGGCGAGAATAGAAATGTTGACAGTCCACATCTGAAATTACGCTTGATTCTTGATGCTGGTGTACTGTACCGTGCATGGGTATTCTGAAACGGTTTAGGGTTTAGGGCTTAGGGTATGGAGTTGGCCTCACTCCTAGACCAAGACAGAAACGTCCTCCGCAACAGAAGCTACAGAGAGAGAGAGAGAGAGAGGTAGCTCTGTAGGGCACTATGTAAAGCGGGGGCTGTTGTTTGCGAGCCGTACTGCACGGGGAAGTGATCCGCTGCTTTGTTGGCAAACTAGATGTTTGTGATGTTGTCGTCACTTGTAGTCTGTTCAACGGCCTGGGACTGTACGGGAGTTGCCAACGAGCGCCGCCAGGACCTGTTGCACCTCCTTTCTTGTAGCAAGGGGGAACACAATTTGCTCCTGAAGTGAAGAGCCGTCGAGCAGCGGGGGATGTTCCTGCCTCCTCCCTATTGTGATATTCTTACTTCGATTATCTGTTGTTCTTGTCTTCGCATGCTTCTTCACTTCCTGCACGTTTCGTGGAGAATGTACGACTGGCATAGCTTTGCTATTGAATACTTTACGGCTTCAGCCCTTTTGCCGGTCTATGTTCGCTTGTCACTCCCCGTAGCCCAACAAGACATTGGGTGGGCCAGGTGCCCGGGGACGCTGACCCGTCCCTACGCCCGGAGGAGAGAGAGAGAGAGAGAGGTGGGAGAGTAACATGTGGGGGGCCCATGTGGCCGAGGGACCTTAACCGTCCCTCATGCCCGGTGGAAGAAGAGGTGGGAGAGTCCTAGACTCTTGGAAATCGAACCGATGAAACTCGAAGCCGCAGTGCTTTGCTTCTTCCCCCTTGCACTTCTTACGGGATGCCGGAAGTCTGGAGGCTTTTGCCAGTCGCGTGCAGCCGAAGTTGCCTGAACTACAACTTCGGTCGGAGTCGGATAAAGCCTGCACCTGCATTCATGCTCGTAGTCGTAGCTTAGTCGGTCGGGTTGGTGAGACTGAAGAGCTTCTACGCAAATCGCATCATCGTCGAGGCGCGATGCATGCATAGAATTGGATCTTGGAGCTTCAACTGCCTACGCAAGTTTGAGGAAGACCTAGTACCAATGCTTTGTTGCGAATCCGTGCGATAGCCTCGCACACGGGGTCCCAAAATGAGAATCAGAGGTGGTACAGGTGTGTTGGGAAATGCAGAAGTGAATCGTTCTAAAGTACCTGCACGTCATGGGGAAGTGGATCCCGATGGGCCAATTGCAAATGCTGTTGGCTAGATTTGGACACTGCGAAGGTGGACATGTGGAATGTGGAGCTTAGTTAGTGTTGAGAATCACGTCCTCAAGCAAGACAGCGCTCTGAGGATCGAGTATCACACGAGCGGTCGCTGCCCGAATCCCGGATTTCACTGTCAAGTTCATTTTTCTCACGAACTACGCGCTGAAGTGAAATAACGCATGGACTGTGGACTCCACCCTGCAGGCGAAGTTTGGACAAGACAAGGCGGTATCGGCACCACCATGGAGCTGGCGGGCTATACATGCCTTCGCTACGACACCTGTTCCGCATCAGTTCTCGAGTTAGATGCAAAGCACCCTACGTGTCTGAGCCCTGCCCAAGCCACCACGATTCACGCCTGCCTGTGCTAGTTATTGTTTAGGGTTTGGGGCTTAGGGTTTAGGCCGCCCTGTATAGATGCTGGGCCATTATTTCACCTACTTTTGGGGGTGTGGTGTAGGTAGAGCTTGGGACAAGGGGTGCTCTGCGTAGGAGTTGTCGCACCATGATAGTGACCACTCGCAATCGCCTTAAACCCAGCCTCCCAAAATCTTTGAGCTTTTCCCATAGAGCCTAGAACTTGCTGGATACTTGCCTAACCCCCCCCAGAAGTAGGTGAAATAATGGCCCAACATCTGTAAGGGGCTATTTTTCTACATGCTTCTTGGGTCCAGGTCGGCCCCGATGTTCCTAGGAACCCTAATTCCTGAACCCTAAACTCAAAACCCTAAACCAAAACCCTAAACCCGAAACCCTAAACCAAAACCCTCAACCCTAAACCCTAAACCCAAACCCTAAACCCTAAACCCTAAGCTTCAGACTTCAGCCCCGATCTTTGTTGTTTTGTTGTTTAACCCCTTCAGGGTTTAGGGTTTTAGGGTTTAGGGCTTTAGGGGTTTAGGGTTGAGGGGTTTAGGGTTTAGGGTTTAGGGGTTTAGGGCTTAGGGCTTTAGGCTACCTTGTCGGCAGCATTAGTTTGAATTTGCACTCTTGCTTGCTGCCTCAGGTGCCCGCACTTGCCTAGCTGACGGGTGAAACCGTTGTTGGTTTGAATTGAGTCTCTGAGGACCAAGCGGATTGACTCGAAACGCGAGCTCGTTGAAAATTAGCTTTGACTATGACCGATACTGATCACGAGGTATCTCTTTATTTCACCGCTTCGTGCAAGCCGCTGATCGAAAGCTAGAGGGGCCTGTGATGGCCTTGCAGACTTTCGTGTTGTCTCCTTGGACGCTGCATGATATGGTCGGTGCCGGCTGCACTCTTAAGTCAAAGAGACCTTTGCAGGCAGCCCGGCACCGGCCAAGACAACATACAGTTCTGTATAGTCGCTTTGCCTTCCTGTCCACCACTGCACAGTGGAAGCCAAACCTATAATCTGACTGGGAGCTGGGATCGGAAATGATGTCCAAGAGCGTCAGCTCGAAGTGCTTCAGCGGCAGGATGTGGACAGAAGGCGGGGCACCAATTAAGGCGACTGAGTTGCGCGCAGCTCTCGCAAAACTAGGAGATCTTGTTGCGACTCGTGGAGGTGGAAGATGTCGAGAGGCTGTCGCAGCTTTTCGCCTCGGTGCGGCATTTCTTTGTCATGTGCGGAAGGGAGCCCAGCGGCTCGCCGGCCTGCAAGACTCAAGAAGGGTGCGATGCTCTCTCACCCGGTAGCTGCGTCCTATGCCATGTTTGAGGCTCTTTGAGCCTCTTTGAGCCTCATCGCGAGGTGTGTGACAGCCACAAGCAAAGCTGCACCCTCCCCGAGGCTGACCCACCAGAGCTCAGCTCAGATTATGGTTCCATCTCGAGATGGATTAGATGGCAGATTGGGCGACTCCAAGTCACGGTGCAAGGCATTGAGACGGGTGTCAGGGGGAACATGGTACACGGACCAGCATGCCTTTCAAGCAGATAAAGTCTTTCCAAAGAAACAATGCCTTGGATACTCTGAGTATTTCTCCATACTGTCTGCAGGTGATAGCAGGGCCACTGGTGAGGTCTCTCTGTATAGTTTGCGCTCTGTTCGTGCTGGCCTGTCGCAGCTCAAAGCAAGACAGCCCGAGGGCCAGCTGCACCCATCGTATTTGCTGGAAACCACGCTGTGTCGCTGTGTATGAATTCGGAGGATGTTGACATGTCAGCTCCAAGAATTCTTGTTGATTCTTGTTCCACATCCTGCGAGGAGGAGGAAGAGTTCTTGATGATCAACTCATGGCAGCGAGAGGTCCTTCATTCATAAAGAGTGTGGCATTGAAGCAGAAGTAGGCCGGCTGCGCTTCATCTAAGCCTGGGCCTTATGTCAGGATCCAGACTCGGGCCGTTGTGGCGTGGCAGAGGACCCCATAACTTTGGAACAGCTGCTGTGGCCAGCAGCTTAGGAGACACCAAGTCGAGCTACTTTGCATAGCTAGTCCTACATGTTGGGACGTGCCCGCTCGGGGGCTTCTTGCAGGGTGGAAACCATCCATGCGCTGTCAGACACTGCACCTTGTGCAGAGGCTCCTTGCTAGCTAGGTTGGTTCACTATGCAAGCGAGCAGATACTTGACATTCCGCAATAAGTTTGCAAGGTGCCAGTACCTGCCCTGCGGCTCAAGCTGTTTGATGAGGGTCACACTGGCATGTTCCTGCATGTTCCTGCAGCTGTGTCGCATGAACAGCGCGCCTTCTGGCGACATTAAACTGAGCGGTGCTTGGCGAGGTGTGGCCTCTGCTGAAGACCTTCTGGATGGGCCATCCGAGCTCGCAGGGGCCACAGAAGCGGAAGGGCGGCTAAATGAGAGTTGTCAACAGATTCTCAGGGCGCGGGAGTTCCTCCCGATGAAGCCCCACGCCTTGCTTCGCTTGCCTTCCTTCGGCAGCGCTTCGGTAGCACTTCGGAAATGAGTACCACGGAAGGACTTTCTCATGCAGTAGTGTGGCTTCAGATGTGGACACAGACAGCGCACCAAACTGCTGCCACAAGCTTCCGAAGGTACGCTACTAGAGCCGTGCTGCAGGAGGAGGCGGGCGCATGCAATTGGAGGCTTTCGTTACAACATTGCAATGACAGCCTGTGGCGTCCAACATAGCAATGCTTCGAACTCGAGTTGCTAACACCGTGAGATGCTGCGTGGCACACCGCACCGCAGCCGGATGGCTCCAGCCAAGCGGGTTCTGCGCTTCGCGTGCCGTATGGCATGGAGCTCCAAGCAGCTTAGCCGAACTCAGTGGCCCGGTATCAAGGCAGCAGTCGTTTGACCTGCGGTCCAAGGATGGAAGAATGGATTTCGATGTGGATCAGATTCCGGTGCCGCGGCGCATAAGATCTTGGAAGATACCTTTGCTTTCCGGAGATGCTTAAAATTAATTCCGAAAAGCGAAGAACCGACTGGCGACTTTAGAAACAGATTCGGTCCGGCGAACGGAAACCAAGACTAAGTTTAGGGTTCGGGAGGTCAGGGCTTACGGGTTCAGGGTCAGAGGTGAGGCTTAAGGATTATTTCTGCCAGAGTTTTCTGAATGCTTCTCCGTCCTGAGTTCTTGAACATGAACTTCTTTTTGAATTCGGTCTCTCCAGTTTTGGACTTGTTTTCCTAAACTGTCCACAACTCTTACGTCCCAGAGCTCCACGCCTGCAGTGTCAGTGCCTTCTGCGAGAGCACACGCCCAAGCTTTAATTTCTTTTCGCATGTCCTTCGACATGGCGGAGCAGCGCCTTTGTCTCGCAGCGCCTACCGGAAAGTGATTGGGTTCATTGCGCATCGTGTAACCTTACTCTTGTGGTTGTGTAGCGTTTATGCGTCAACTGCTGAACACTTCTGGTTTGCCGTTGAGGTCAGAGGGACTTTCATCCATTTCTCGCTCATGAGAGCGGCCGATGAAGTCGTCGTACAGCCTCGCTCGATGACGTGTCATGCGGACTACACGGCCAGCACTTGTTCCAGCCTGGAGGACTTGCCGGCGTTCGTCCCTTTGCTGAAATCGGACTGCATCTCTCCTAAACAGGGCAGAAGGCCAGTATTGGGCAGTAGTCCTTCCGAGGTCTTCCAAGTGACTCCGGAAGACTTCGAGAGCCAGAGCCCTCAGACAAGCACCTTGCCTTTGACGGCCGTCCAATCTTACACTCCTCTGAGCGCCATTGACGACGACGAAAACGAAAACCCAAGTGCGCCAGCAGTGCCAGAGCTCGCGAATTTTCCGCAAAACGCGGGCTACTCCCAGTCCCAGTCTTCAGAACAGCCTACCAGCTCGGAGAGTTCGGCCTGGGACCCGCGTCGTATCAACAAGGACTGACTGTCCGCTCTGAGAAATGGGCTTCCTGGCTTCTTGTCCTAAGTCTAGGCTTCCTTGCAGGAGCTGCTCAAGGTGTCGAAAACTGGGGAGCCAGAGTGCGCATTCAAGGCGGGGACATAGCGATGTGGGCTCCACATGTGGCGATGGAGCACTGCATTGGTGCCGTTGCAGGTCCTGGAACTGTCCGAGACACATCTGTACGAGATGAATGGGGTGAACTTGTCCACCGCACTGCACCGCGTCGCGAAGGCAGGGAACACGTGCTACAGCAGTGTACAGCTCTTTTGGGAGCTGACGAGTTCTCGCTCTGTGACCAGGTTTGTCAAAACACCCCCGTGGCCGAGCAGGCGAGGCATCTCCCCACTTCACTTCTCTCGCTACGTGTCTCGGTCTGTCTCTCTCTGCTCTCTCTTTGCTCTTCATGTTCGCCCCCCTCTCGTTCTGGGGAGCGCCGTGACGGCAGTCTCTTCGACCTCTCGTGCAGATGGGAGTCTGCATTATCATGGTCGAGTCGGCCGCGCAAGTTAGCCACATCGTCAGCTGTTTTCAATCTAGGGCCTCTGGTCATCTGAGCTAGTGGTACTGGTATCTGCATGACGATGTTCGCCTCTGACTACCATTTTTTGCTTCATTCGTGCTTAATGGCCTAAGCATTCGGGGAATGGTGAGAGGATCCATGGTCAAGTACTGCGGTCGCATGCGGTTGCCTCTACATTCTGCAAGATGTCCCTTGTGCCCTGTCTTCCTTGTGATGCGAGGGGCGAACACTCAATCAGCATGTTACCATTATTCCCCTGGTAATGCTGACTCGCAGTCTCACTAGAGACAGGGGCGACCTCAAGGGCATCCCAACGAACTGCGTTCGTCTTGCTGTTTCTTTCGGTCATGTAAGGGGCATTGGTCAACATAGGCACCGCACAGGTCAAGGGAAATGGTGTCTTCCAGTTCCTGGTGGTGTTTGCCTTAGTGCAGGGCCACGCGGAAGTAGTGGTGCATGTGCATCAAGTCCCTTCTAAATCCTTCGACAGAGGATGTGGCCGAGAACATGACCGAGCACGAGCTACAGTACCAAGACGGCACCATGCCAGTGAGCTGCAGCACTATAATCGCGTGGTCTTGCGCTAGCCTGCGTGTCTTCCGACCCCGCTTCTTTGCTTGTCTCGGGCTTGTCGCTTCACGCGACCTTGGCAGCTGTCAGAGCTACGAGATCACAAACATACTCTGGGCATTCGCAGAGCTTTGCAAGCGTGAGCCGCAGATGATGGAGTACGTGAGTGCGAGCATCCAGCTGGTTTGCGAAGCAACGGCTTTAGTGTTCCAGAGCCGGCCTCGATCCGCCTGGAAATTCCCGGTCCTTGTCTCCGCCTTGGTGTCTTTGTCAAAGCTTCCCTTCATTACGGAGTCGAATCGTGATTGGAGTCATCAGCTAGTCATGCGGATCGCGAAGGAGCTCGCCTTGTCCGAGAATGATGCTAGGCCACAGCAGCGCGTGCCTCTCGTACAGGCTTTCGATGCGTTTCGCACGTCCCATCCGGAGGCCAGACGCGACAAAACCAAGTTTGTTGTTGCATGTTGCATGATCATGAAAGCTGCTGAAGATTCCGTTTTTTTTTTGCCAGGTGTTTCAGTCAATGTGCTTGGCGGTGACTTCCATCAGCCCCACTTTCCAGGCCTCCTACATGTTCGGCGGCCCAGGCTCCTCGAAGAAACTCTCTCTCTCTCTCTCTCTCTTTTTGCAAAACCATTGCGGCTTTGCAAAACCATTGCGGCTTAGCGGCTTAGCGGCTTCGCCTTGTTGCCCTGCAGGTTCCAAGCCGGCTCGGTCGAAGCATCTTGAGCCCGTTGTCGCTCGGGTCAACGGCCCGAAAACTGTGGTCAGTTGAACAAAGGAAGGCACCCGGTACCCCCCCTTTCTTTCGTGTCTGCTTGGGAGGGCAGGGCAGGCCTTTGCCCCAGGTCCCTCGCTCGGCAGGAGTTGCCGGGTTGAGCATGCAGTGACGGGTTCGAGAGAAATTTTCATTCTACTTTGTCTTTGTGACCGGAGAAGCACCAAGTCAGTGTTTCTCTGAGAAATACATGAATAGTGTATTTTGGTCTTTCCACAGCAGTGCAAAGCACTGACTGAAGGCTGCGCCACGAATGCCACATGGAGTCCCTTGCTCTGAACATGTTTAAGTTGTACGTGTTTCACGAGACCTTATGCTTCAAGCCAAAGCAGTTTCGGCTGCACCGTCCAACTTCGACACCGACGGTGCAGGTGGGACTCTGCAGGTGCGAATTTTCAAATCATGGTCGAGATGGATGCAGCAGAGAGCACAGTGAATTCTGTTTGGAGTTCCAGAGGACTGGCATGCGACGCACCCGCAGGAAAACTTCGGCGAGGGTGCAACGGAAACACTCGTCCACTATTTGTATGAATGTTTTTTTCCCGATGCTCTCCTCGCAACGCTCCGAGTTGCTGCCGCGGCTGCTGCCGAATGGGGGCACTTTCCGCGTGTTCAGCGCCGAGCTCACCGCGTGCGAAGGCTCGGCTCCTGTAGGCTGCAGCACATGCCTTGACCTCCGGAGGTCTGTTTTTTGTGTGCTCTTTTCAGGTTCTCCTCTCAAATCGTTGAGACCGCCGAAGCAGTGGCCCCGAATGTCCACAGGTCTCCTCTCACGTTTTTGCTCACAAGGCCAAGAAGTCTTGACGATCTGTTCAGCGACTCCCCGGATTTTCGCAAGTGTGGGCCGCAGCTGGCGTCGGAACAGCCTTCTGGTTTTGGCGTGCTGGGGAGGGGGTGCAAGCGAGCGTGGGGGGAGGGGTGAGGTCGTACTGGGTACTTCGGAGCATTCAATATATTTTGCCGAATCCTTTGGTGTCCGAGTCCACTCGATGCGCGGCGAGACAATAGAAGTGCAGAGCCTGCCTGCCGTGCAAGGAGCCGGGGTGGTAAGACCCGGCTCGGGCATGGGCCATAGGAGCAATACGCTGGCCATACGCTGGCCATACGCCTCAGCAAGACTTAGATACAACAACGTCAGGGCAACAGCTTGCCTCTGGGCTGCGAGCGCAGCCCAGGCCAGAACATATGTTCGGGAATCGAGAATCTTAGACGTCTGATGCCACGCATGACTCCACTGCGGACAAGGTTAGGGCCAAGTGTGGCAGTCTTGCAAGCCTTTTTCGATGAGACTTGGCACCACGAGCCTTCGTTGCTTCAGTGGACATGGCTGCTCGTTCCTTGTCATTTCTTGGCCATGTAATATAATGACCACACACTGCATCTCGGATTCGCGACCGTTCCACACCAAAGACTTTGCCAACACGTACTTGCCGCGTGCCGCTGCCAGTTCTCAGGCCTTCCCATTTTGCCTGTGGCGTGGACGACGAGAACTTTCCAGAGGGGAAAGAGGAAGATCCGCTTGTGAGGTGCCCTGCCATGTCATGCATTCACTTAGGCTTGTCCTTGCAAGAAGCTGATGGCTCGAATATCCGGCACCGTCCTAGAGTCCTAGCACATCACAGCAAAGACAGGAAGGAAGCGATCGCGAAGAGAGTTTCGTCTGGCGTCCTTAATTTGTCGGCTCCGGCCCCGGCAGAGGTTGGCAGTTCACCATCCTCCGAAATTTTGCCAAATCGTTTCGAGCATGAGCAAAGTGACATGCCATCGCAAGACCACCTCTCAAGCGAGACTCGCGTGAGATCATCCGTGACTTGTAGATGCCTGGACCAACTGGGTAAGTATAGGTCACGAGGATTCACGAGGTGTCTTGGTGTCAGCATCGAGATGTGTCTCCAGGTACGATCTCACGTCCGTGATCCTTCTAGGCGAGACCTCAGGCCCTCAGAGCTCATGCGGCTTTTTGGGCCTCTTTTTTCGCGGCTCCTGCTTCAGGATTCTTGCTGGCCTTCCATTGCTTGCAGGCCCAAGAACGAGGGGGAGGGGGTGCGGCCTTGCTTGGTGGCTGCCGGAGATCCGCTGAGTGCCAGGCCCGAGACCCCTGCTCGGTGTGAACGGCATGATCGTCCGGAGGCTGCCCGCGGCAGAGGCTTTGTCAATCATCAAATCTTTGAAGATGTTTCAACATCTTTGAATCGGTTTCCTGGCATTTCTTCTGCGTGCAGCTTCTTTCATGCCTGTGGTGACACACACACACACACACGCAGCCTGCATGAATTTGAGGTGCGAGGCTGATCCACACAACGCCCTAAGCAGCTATCGACCCGACTCTTGAAGCACAAGCCAAACACATGTGCGAGAGCTACCTGCGGGTTGCATTAGCGTGAGATTCTTGGGGCCCAGTACATCCAGCAGGCCGAAAGAAACCTAAGGATTTGATGCCAGGTGCAGAGTCTGGGGAGAAACTACACTTTAAGCGCGAATTGGTCACATGGTGTGCTGCGAGTCCCTTGGATCGCTGGGTCGAGTTTCACATGGCCCGGGCTATTGGCAATCCGCAGGGCCAGGCTCAGCCTGGGAAGGAAGCACAGGAAAACAGACTCTGCCATTAACTATACACGCGGGCCCGTCATACTCGTACTCAGGATGAAACACAGCCTGGTACGGAAGCGCCTGCTTAAGTCGAAATGCCATGCTGCCGTCGCATGTGCCATGCCTTTTCAGCGCAGAGGAGTCGAACGTGTTCCAGGACAGTCTTGGAAATGCCCTGTACACTCTCCACGAAACACATCACCACTCTGAGGTCGAACAACGAAGCATGCATGGATGCACGTACGGTGCTTGGGGTTCATCGCTTGCACTTCTCTTTGGAAAGTGGCCCAGTCCTGCTGTTCGTCGGGCCAGCAGACCAAACCCACACTGGCCGCAGAATTCTGCAGCTTCACCTGCACCTGGCATGAATGTCCATGTAATGGCCTGGGTATCTTGCATCGATGGCTTTGCGGATGCATGCGCCTTGAACCTGGTGGGCAACATGTCAGTGTTCCAGCGCGCCGGAGCACTGTCGCTGGAATTGTCTGTATCATAGGAGCGAGAGGACCCACCAGAGAGCTCGTGCAGCAGGCATCTAAGGATTCCTGCTTGGTAAAACTTAGTGTGGAGGCTCGTGACAGCAATGGTTGGTTTGTGACTTCGCTTAGCAGCCAGCAGAATGAAGAGGATGCTTGCGACGCACCTGTCACACTCTTCCCAAAAATCAGCGGAGTCGATGACGGTAGCTTTCAAGACATGGCTGGAGTTCCTGTTGCCGTGTCCAAATATAAACTTACTGAAAGAGCGCTACGCTATCCCGGCTATTTTTGAACATGAGCAGTTCAACGTGACCCCAGAAACCCTTTATCCATTAATAGGTAAGGCATGTTCTAACTATTTTAGCAGTTGTTCTGCTTCTGCCACAAGTTTAAAGACATGGGATTAATTATAAGAACCATAAGGCGCATGGCATCTCGGGAGGCCAAGTGGAACGTGGGCGCAGCTGTTCTGACTTGTGCTTGGCCCAAAGAGGCCGAGGTGATTAGCATTCCAAACTCCGGCACGGCCCCGAAGAGCACAAGTTTGCTGGTGCTGCTGGGTTTCCTTGCGACCTACATGCAATCACTCTCGCTGCTGTGACGGGCAGAAGTTGGTGGCATACATGTTATTCCACCGTTGGCCGTGTGGGCTCGCAGTTGCCGGCGCACCTTCTACTGGAATACAGCCAGGCGGCTTAATTTCGACTGCACGCGGCAGTGAAATCCGTAAATGCTGCGGCGCGCGAAGACTTCTGGACTTTTTATCACGCAGTCTGAATCAAGTTCATGTGAAGATGAGCTTCGACGCGGTTGGACCTTGTTTGGCAGATGTGCAGAAAGACACTCTCTGCTAGGTGCGTTGTAGGCCAATTCATAGTCGGTGGCTGAGACGTTCATGCAGCCAAGTTCAGAAAGAGTTTCTGTGTGAAGGATCGAAACGCACCCTGTCTCCTGAGGCATGAGCTTCTTGTCCAGGAGCGAGTACGACCGCGGTGTTTGGGGCTTGACTGAGGGAACACGTTAAACAAAGCGAGAATTTTACTTCGAGTCGTGGCGGTCGGGGCACGTGGCGGTTTGAGGTCAACACCTTCTCGCCCGAAGGCCGACTCTTCCAGGCCGGCACTGCTTTTTGAAGCAGAGAGGCAGAGCCAATGCGCGTTTCTCTCTCACATGCTTGAGGTCGAGTATGCCATCGAAGCCATCAAGCAGGAGGGCTCAGCTTTCGCGACGTCTTGAGGTAAACTCGTCGCGGCGGCTTGTGCTCGATGCTCTCTGACAAGAAATGCAGAGCCGCCCTTGACGGAAGCGCTTGCCTGCTCCCCTTTGAGGCTCGGCTCCACAGCAATTGGCGTCTGCACGAAGGAAGGCGTTGCAGCCTGAGTTTGCACCCGGCACCTCGCCGACCCCGCCTTCCGTAAACCACACCTTCTGCTTTTCATCTTGAGTCGAACATGACCGAAACAGAAGTCTCTGTGTGGCTCAGCTTTGCACAACGCGCGCGTTTGACTGGAAGTCTGCAAGGAACTTTGCATGTTCCAGCTGTTTTTTTTGAGACTCCGAGATATCGATGCGTGCACAGGTTGAGTGAGGCGATGAAGCCATCCGATTTGGAGTGCATGTGTTGGTTATTTGGCTACATCCCTTTGCGCTCGGTTGCTAGATCCTTAGCTGCATTGCTGAGGTCATCCTGGTCGTCGAGAAGAGGCCCTGGTGCTTGCAGTGCTCGGAAACAGAGAGAAACAAAAGAACGGCGAAACAAACTGGATTCCAAGGGTGACTTCTCCGCTGGTGGATCCCTCTTCCATCGAGAAGCTCCTAGCCCCTCGGCACTGCCGGAGTCTGCAAAAGCAGGTAGGTGCAAGCAGGAACAGAAAGGGGAGTTGAGTAGCAGCGATGTGCAAAGGAGATTGACTATCACATGGGCCGGATGCTCGGTCGGCCTGCCTGAGCGGCTTCGTCATGCGATTGCTTTGCTAAGATCGTTTTTGATCCCAAGGCTGTGCCATGAGCGGCCTCACCGCAGATGCCCGCACCCTCGTTGACCATGCCAGGGTGGAAGCGCAGGACGGTTTTCCTCGAGCTCATGGAACTAATTCCTGAACATGAATAGCGCAGACGAGCCGAGTGTTGGCACACTGCGAGCAACCTGGCAGGCGCATTGGTTCACGTACGACGAGCGCATGCCGATTGAAAGCAATGTTAATGCCTTTGCCTCAATTTTTCAGGTGCAACCTCAGAGTTTCAGCCGAGTTTCTGTGGATTCGTGGCACACATCGAGAGGGGTGGTTGTTGGTCCAGGGCTGCCCATGCATGCATGATTCGAGGACGAAGCGGCCAAGATTGAGAGACATTTCTGTGTGTTCTGAGGCCATCGCCGACATGGCATTGGACTTTAGCGACTCCGACAAGACTCCGGGATGGCAAGTGTTGTGTGCGTGTGTGTGTGTGTCGCATAGACGGTCTAGGCGTGCTCCCAACTCATGGCCACGAGCCACTCAGGAAGAAGAAAACGATGAGCCGTCCGTTCGGAGTCGAGATCTGAGTACTTTCAGCCTGCGCGTTTTGCAAGGCTCTTTTAGAAATTTAAAAAAATTATGATAGGGAGTGTGGAGTGTTCTATCCTATCTGAAGACAAAGATCCGCCGTCTGTTTCATTCCTACTATCGGCAGGGCCAGGGACACCAGAAACCCTGAACATGACATCTCACACCTAGGTGGCACTTCTGGTGGCGGGCGTCGACCCGTGGGACGGTCCCGTGCTCTTCAACACGGACCGTGCTGCAGTTATGAATTTGCGCCAACGTCCTCCAGGGAACCGGCGTTTTGCAACATCATCCCATTTCCAGCATTACACTAAGATGTGAGTTGCTGACGGAGTTATCGCTGATCTGCAGTGGAGAGTGCTGTAAAGACCTCGAACATCCTCTGCACTCTGAGTCTTTCGAGCTTCCCCAAAGCTTTGCGGCGAAGCACGCTTTGGGCCTTCGGCTGCCACTTCGGCTGATGCCTGTGGCAGGATCCATCAGGGACTTTCACGAAGTATGCGGCTAGCTCGGCTAGCCTGAACCATTGCCATTGAAATCGAAGCGTGAGCGAATGATGCTGTCGATTCGGTAACTAAGGCTGCGTGCGCGATTGGGAGCGCCCAAGAGGGCGCTACGAGCATGCTGCAGGATTTGAAGATATCTGGAGTGAATGCGATGATGTTTGCATTGCAGCTGTGCCAGAAGCCTGAAGCAGCCATTCCGCTTCTTCTTTCGATATGTGCGCGAGCCCCCGCCGGAGTACTCTTCTTCAGTTGCGCGAGGAGCAGTACAACAAGGATATGACATTGAAGGAGGCAGAGATCTTGGCCTTGACGACGCTCCGCCAGGCAGAGCGCCTACTCGGAGCATGTTGGTTGCCGCAGGAGGGCTTCGGAAACATGATGAGTTCTAAGTTGGAGCTTGGCTCAGGTCATGGAGGAGAAGCTGAGTAAAGTGAACATCGAGGTTGGGGTGGTTCCAACGTCCACTGGAAAGCCGGGAGCTTGGTGAGCAAAGCCCAACCGTCCGACTTGGAGTTGCCTGGCCTTCCTCTGCAGCACAGGTTCCGCTGCTACAATGCCGAGGAGTTGGAAGATGTGATCTCGCGCCTGTGGGGTTGCTCAGCGGTCGCTACCCTCACAAGGGTTGTCGGTTCAGGTTCAATTCGACCAGATGCGGGAAGTGCATGCTGCGGGTTGCAGGAATCGAGCATCGCAATGTCAGTGTAAGTCACTGATTGCTCTGCCGGAAAGAGAAGAGCACACCGAGCACACCCAAGCCGGCCAAGCCCAACAAGGCCAGCGCCAACCGTGCCGACGCTGCAGACAGCAACGGCGGCACCAGGCCGGGATCCCGGCACCCCTCGGACGCTTCACGATATTTTACATATCCTGCCGATGCAACAGAAGCAAGAAGAACCCTCGGTAGTGATTGTATGAATGACCTGCAGGTCGAGGTGATCTCTCATACGGACCGTGATGAGGCAGGCTCTTTGATCTTAGGTCGTGTCGCTTCTCAGCTTCTCGAGACAACAGCCCAGCCTGCCTGGCTCATCTTGGGCGCCTCTGCGCTTGAGGTGCGTCCTGGTTGGCTGAACGAGTCGAGATGAGCGCATTCACAGAGCTCAGGAGACGCACGAGTAAAAAAGCACTGCGTGCTGCATGCAGAAGAAAACCTGCGTGGATCCATGCAGCAGGACGCTGGCTGGCTGCGGTAGCGTTTCTGCTCAGCAAGTGAACTTCTAAGCAACCTGATACATGTAGCAGGGAGGAATTCCACCTTCTCGAATCGGATCATTGCTAAATTGAAGACGGGTCGTAGATGTTCGAGCCCAGTCCCTTCCAACCCTTCGGCTGTCCAACTTCATTCCTCATGGCCCATGCGGGCTGCGGCTGCTTGCTTCGGGCCCTGTGCCAGGACTCGTGGAATTCTGAGATTCTGAGAGCGTCTCGAGCACGTTGTGAGGAGCATGGGGCCGGGACCGTTCCCGCCTGCTTGGCGACCCCGAGGCCGGGGGACTTGTTTAGGATGCAGGCGCGCGCTCGGCTGCGAAGGCTGACACATCGGCAGAACAGCTTCACTAAGCCAGCGGCACGACAACACAACGCCAGGGCGGAGAGCGCCGTCTTTCGGAGGGGAAGGGCGGCTGCTCTCTGCTTGTCAGCCTGCCGAATTGTTTTTTTTTGTTGGGGGGCGGGGCGGGGCTCCCGCTCTCCATCTCAAATCTTTGCATGCTCACCACTTGCTCAACACCAGTCCCACCTTTCTTGCGACGTGAAAGGGGGTGACCTTCCCCGACACTGCAGGACCCGCCGATGTGGCGTGGAAGTCTTGTCGTTCGTGTCTTGCTATAACCTAAACTTAAACCTCGTTGGTCTTCGATCATCTGCAGCTGAGCGGAATCGCCAGTCTCGTGGCCGACGAGCGTCGGCTACAAGTCAGGAGTCAAACGCTGCAACCGCGGTGCTGGTGCTCGTGATGTCTGCTGCGGCTGCTGCTGCGGGGATTGCTCAATTTGTCACCTCACATACTTTGCCAGCTGCTGCCAAGCTCGAAGAACCGACCATCTTGTTGGCACCCAGATTCCATGCAAGGTGGTCGTACGAAGCTTGCGGGACACTGCTTTGGAGGCAAGGGCCAAGGTAGCACATGTGCGAGAAGCATCTCGAAGCATTTGTATTTAGATTGAGATCGTGGCTTCACGAACTTCGGGGTTTGCCACCGCGATTCTTCACCTATTGCAGTCTACCTGGTGATTGGCTTCTGTGCAGCCGCTGCTATTTTTGTCTCCAAGAACACAGTGCAAAAAAGGGGGCAGCCGGAAACAAAAGCCCAGCATCACGAGGCCCTAAAAAGACTATTTCCCGAAGCTTCGTAGCAGCGTCGCAGCATAGCAAAAGCAACGTTCGGCGTTGTTACGTGTGCCATGGGCGACACCGCGGCAAAGAAGAAGGCAGCGGGAAGGGGCCGCGGGGCCGGGCCGGGGCCGGGGAGTGGCTGTTTGCGTTTTTTGCCTTTGCGTCCTCGCCTTAAGGAGCCGAAGCCGAAAGACGGAGCCAAGGCCCGGCATGTCTCTTTGAAAAGACTCCGCTTCGCAAGCGGCGCTTGGCGAGGCGGCAAAGCCGGCTCCGGAAAAGAAAGATGTGAAGCCGGCTGCACAGTCACAGACTCCGCGGGATGCTCGTACAAAAGCCTTGCTCTGAGGAAAACCATAGAGAAGAAGGATGCCAAGGATGGCAAAGCCAAGGAGGAGAAGCCAAAGGCCAAAATAGACGACAAGTCTAAGGCAAAGGCCGACAAGCCAAAGCCCAAGGATGAGAAGTCCAAGGCGAAGGCTGACGAGAAGCCCAAGATCAAGGCCAAGGTCGACGACAAGTCGAAGCCCAAAACGGAGGACAAGTCCAAGGCCAAGGCTGATGAGAAGTCGAAGCCGAAGACTGACGAGAAGTCAAAGGCCAAAGACAGCAAGGCCAAGCCAGGGCCAAGCGAAACCTTTGGAGAGCGCTTCTTTCCCGTCAGAGCACTGTCCCCTGACAATCCTCTGATACATTCTCATGCGATTCCCGATTGTTCCCTCGGCACATTGCGCAAAAAAAAAGGACGCAAGCATAAAGTTAGGAAGCGATTCGGTGCCACCAGGCCAAGAAGGCTCCTGCTGCAGCGGCTGCGGCGGAGGCCAGCGAGCGAAAGGCAGCAGCAGCGACTGCGGCGGCTACAGCCTCTTCGATGCAAGGGGGCCTCTGTACATGAGAACTTTGCCATTCTGATTCATACCTCGTCGCAGATCTCACAACAAACTTTTCCTTTCCGTAAAAATAGCAGCAAGATGGTTAACGACAAACGTCGCACCCGAACTTAAAGTGTGTTCTGTGTTCAACAAACTTGTCGAAGCAGTACCACAGGCGCGTGTTCCGTTTGGCACCAGCTTTCTTGCACACCAGCAAGAACGGAGACTTGAATCCAAGATCGAATCCAAGCCTGTTGGATGGCGAATTTGCGAACTCCTGTGCAACCCAGATATCACGATAGTATCACGATATGACCGTTGGAAACAAACTTCCTGTAGGCCGTGTTGACAAAGGTACCCCTTTTCACAGCCTCACTATCGAAGAAATCTCAGAGTGAAGTAGCCCGCTGCAGTTGCAGGGAGGGCGGTCGCTAGCAACCTAGTTCAGATCCAGGCAGCAGGCAAGAAGCGCAAGAAGGAGCTTCCGTGCCGTTTCGACACTGAGACCTAGGCTGAGCAAGTAGAATTCAAAGCTCGTGACACGTGCTACTGGGAGTTCTAGCGTCACTTTGTCAGCAGACAGGAGTGATGAGACTGTTCCCATGAGCCTTGGGCTTCTGAGTCGCAGGACGAGATCGAAGAGACCGCGCCCGAGCCGGAGGAGGAAGAGGAGGACCTGTCCCCATCTGATTGCTGAGCCACGAGCTGCAGCTCGTTGCACCAGGACGACGACACTCGGAAACTGCAAGAGGCTTGACCCCGTCTCGCGAACGCTGGGTAGAAGCGTGGCCTACAGTGCCGCAATGACTCAAGTACTGCATCAGGGTGTCGTGGAGGAGCCAGGAGAGGCGCCGATGAGAGCCCAGTGACTCGAGTGGAGCAGAATTTTCTACTCCGACCCTTTGATTCAAAACAACGTAGGCGAAGGCAAAGCCGAGAGGGGCTTGCGCTGCCGAGGCGGGGAGCTCTCACCGAGGGCTCGGCGGCTTCGGGGATGTGCATAGTTCGAAGCGTCAGCAGGCTTTGGATGCGGAGAGCGAGGATCACGGTGCCTTGGATTTTTCACAGCTCAAGAAGCGAAAGGGATCTTGGGATCCGAATGTTGTGGATGTGTGTCGTGAATTGCGGATCGAGGCCCACCACAGAAAGCCGCCAAGCCGCCCGGAATGAGAAGAGGATTTATGCGCATCCCCTTCTCAACGCGACTCCTTTTTCGCTCAGTTGCTTTGCAAAGCTAAGGAACAGTGGGAAGCCCGGCCAGGCACGAGCAGGGAAGGGGAGCACGGAGCACCTCTGCCCCTCTTCTCCGCTCCCGCTCCCGGAGGTGGACCGGAGCCAAAGCCACGATCCAGGCGCCGATTGAGCGCCCGATTAAAACGCCGAGTGGTTTTCGGAACGCAAACGTCAGAGACCGTCAGAGCGCAGGCGAAGAGTCGCAGCCCGAGGAGGCGGAGGCACCGGTTCCAAGTCCATCAGCTCAGGGAAACCTCTTGACATCCGGTCTCCATGCTCGTAGCTGACCGCCGCCCCTAATGAATGGAGGATGGCCAGGAAAAGCCGAAGGAGAAAGGCCCTTGGCACGCACTTGCAAGCTTGAGCTCCCATGGAGTTGGAGCTAGATGTGTTTCTGACGCATAGCTGCCATAGCTCCAAGACATGGGGGCCAGCCAAAAGCCGTCTTCTTTGCATGCTGCGTTGTCGGACCAGACTTTGCTTTTCTAGCAGCTTGAAGTCGGTGAAGGGGGGCTGCCCAGGTAAGGCTAAAGACAAGACAAAAGAGAAAGGAAAGGACAAAGAGAGGCACTGGCCCTGGCCACGTCACGAGTCAGTGTCACCATTCCTGCGTTCTGATCTTCGATCGTCAGCGCTAGCAACAGCACAAGCACCAAAACCACGATCATCATCGCCGTATCATCATCGCCACCTCCTCATCGTCACCCTCATCGTGGCCATCAAAGGATTATGGACGATTATGGTATGTAAGGGCTTCGTTGTCAATCAGGCGACGTAGCGACTTGCGGTGTTTCTTCATGTTGGCAGTGCTGCTTGCTGCTAGCATCGCGGTGGGACGAACAACATGGCGCGTTCGATGCCTAGAAGAATTGATGGCTTTCTGTACTCTAGCCAAAGTCCAAAGTCCTGCAGCACAAGGGTCTGGCACAGCCAAACGTCCGAGCGTTTCTCCAGAGCCTTGCAGTGGGCAGTGTCTTGTCAACTTGTGGAGGCTGTGCGGCCTCGCCGGCTGTGCGAGTTGTTCTTCTTGCATGTCCCTTTCAGAAGGCTTACTGAGCCTATTTACCTGCAGCAACGCTTCGGTCGAAATGTGCTCCAGCACCCAAAAAGACTGTTACTCAAAGGGGTAGTGCACTTTCTGCAAATCACAGCTGTTCAGGGGGCGAGGCAAGAAGAAGAAGGACAAGACCAGCTACAGCTATGAGGAGGACGTCTCCGGTGTTGCAAGAGATGCGGTAGAGTGCCAACTGCGGATCATGGTCACTAGGTCCTGGCTTGTGCCGTGTGCTAAGAGGATTCTCGGAGCTCTGACGCTTCGGCGGCGCGGCGGAAGAAGCGCCGTGCGAATGCCGGGCTAAAGCCCGCCTCCGGCTGCCCGACTGGCGACTTCGAGGCGACTCTTTTTCACGTGGGGTCGCTGTCTTCGAGGCTTCGGGCTCGCGCCGCCCCCGGCAGCTGAGGCGGAACAGCTCAGCACATCTTCAGCTGGACTTCTGGGTCTTTGCTCCTCGATGCCCTTTGCTTTGAGGCTCCCATGTCGGCTTTTAGCTCGGCCCCCTCGGCCCCCATGGCCGCAAGCTGCTGAGCGCTGGAGAACACACCTTTGGGACCTTTCCTTTGTGTCAACAGCTCCAAAAACTCCTCCTGTTTGAGGTCCTACCGGCACCCGTGGCGGGGCTTCTCACGAGCGATGTCGCCACCGACCTCCAGCGCATGCGCATGGCGGTCGAGGTGTCGGAGGGCAGAAAGGAGGGCACGCTCTGACTTGTCGCATGCGTTTCAGTTCGGAGGCTGCAACAGGCAAGACGATGGAGCCAAGGCAGGAGCAGGGTCTCCGCTATGTGGCGTCCGCTACGTCACATCAAGTTTTCTCTTCAGTCACTTTTAATGAAGTGTACGCCCCTTTTTGGCAGCAAATGCGAGTTGGGAGGGTGGGCCACGAATTCCTAAGGGAACGCCACGACCGGGTGCCCGAAGAGTTTCTCAAGGCGGGTGCCACCCCAATGCCGTCGAAGGCGGGTGCCGCCCCAATGCCGTCGAAGAGCGAGACCACGCCGACCGAACAAACGGACGCCACGGACCCTTTCAGGGGTCACGGGTACACCGGGGCTCCTCGCGGCGTTCCTGCTCTCCGCGCCGGCTTGCGGTCGTCGTGAGCCTGGTTTTGCCGGAGCGCCTGTTCTCGTCATGCTCCTGGTCCCAGCCGGCGCCGTGGCCCGGCGGGCACCTTGGGTTGCCGCATCTCCCTCCTAGGAGCACTCGCTATTGCGTAGAAGAAGCCGAGCTCCTCCTCCATCGTACCGGGCGGGAGGGCGGGAAGACAGAATTAAACCTGAAAATAATGACCCCGGTCGAAGTCAACACAAACTTACAGAGGGCGCCACACGACAAGCCTGAGACCCACATGCCAGGCTCAAGCTCGACCAGCGAGAGGCACATGCCTGCAGTGCTGTGCAGCAAAATCCCGCAGAATCCAGCAGCCTCAGGAAGAGCGAGAGCAGAAGCTGAGCATGGCGGAGGATCTGAGAGACGCCTTGCTGGATCCGTCAAACATGCCCCTGGGCCGCTCTATGGAGCAACCTTTTGCTCCTCACTTTCCCGAGTGCATTGACACCGAGGAAGCAGCTGCTGACGAGAACAAGCCTTCTGTCGGTGACGCAAGCCGAGGTGCGAATGGGACCGGGAGATTCTTTAGGCGGATCGGGTTCGCACATGACAAGGATGGCAAGATCGTTCTACGCGCGCCGTCAAAGCAGTCAATGAAGGTCGGCGCCTCGCTGCCTTGCGCACTTGCAGGGTCACATCACATCGCACAGACAGATAGCCTGGTGCGGCACATCACAGTGCATATAGGACGCAATGTCGGTGCTGGCGAGAGTGGCGCATCACTGCCGGGCACTTGACTTTGATGATTATACCAAGTTCCAGGATACAAATTCCAGCAGTTGAAACTTCCGGCACTAAGTGAACTTCCTGATGCTACTTTGGCACGTGCTTGTGATTCAGGTGCCTGGGGCTGCAATCTGACCAAGGCTGCGCAGAGGGCTCGTGTCAGCTAAAGGAACGGAGTCTAGTCCAGCCTAACTAACTTCATCAACTTCCCTGGCAGCAACACCAAGCATGGCCACTTTTGGGGAAGCTTGCAGAATCATTCTTCGGATTCATGAGAGTTCACTCCGTGGGTGCAGCATTCGCTTCCAGCACTCTCTGGCAGGTAGGACTGCTCTTGCGCGACCTGGCTGCAATGGTCAGCCTCCCGCGCAACTTCCGAGCCTCTTTGAGACAAGGAGAGAAGCCGGAGAAGGCGATCCACACGGTCGTCATCCGGCTAGCTGCTACTTCAAGCCGGATGCAGACTCAGGAGATCTCAGAGCCGGGGAGGGACGAGGGGACAGCTTAAGTGCTTTTGTTGCGGTTGCTAGTTGTGTGTTTTTCTGTGAGGGCGCAAGGGACCAAGCAGACCTGCTGCACGCAAATAGAGCGACACTGCTCGAGGAGGGCCGCGTGAACCCTCGCAGCGACAAGCTCCGAATCGGCACAGATGCGCGTCAGTGCCAGGCGACGTCAGAGTAGGTCCAATCTGGTCACTTCCTCACACAAGTTCAAAGCCCATTGCAGCATTCTGTGATTTCAGTTGCTTGACTAAACAGCGCAGGTCGTTGTGGAGGCCATTGCGGGCATCAGCCGGAAGCACGCGACCATCTCCTTTGAGCAGGAGTCTGTGGCAGCACAGTGCAGCAATCTTTAAGACCAGTTACTCGTACTGGTACGAGGGTTTGGCCGCCTTATGATCCTGCGAGCTGAGGATAAGGGTGCCTGTCGCTTGGCAAGCTCTTAAAGACCTGGGCCGGAAGTTCTGCGATGCAGAACGCAGCATGTCTGGACGCTCGAAACACCCGTGGCACAGCATACGGCTCAGCATGGCTCAGCCGACACACCCATTCCTTCTTTCATCCGGTTTCTCGCAACAGTTTCCGTGGTTCAGCATCAGCCACTTTGTGCAGTCAGGTTGTTCAAGCAGACCTTGCAGATCCTTAGCCAGTCTCGACCTGCAGCAGCATTTGCAAGCGTGCTAGTCGCAGCACATGCGTTGCTTCCAGCCGGATGGCTGATTCCTGCCATGGGCTGCTCCTGCTGCAAGAGCAAAAAGCCTGGGGCAGCGGCGCCGCCGGTGCCGCCAGTAGTGATAGAAGATTTGTTCGACGAGGCTGGGGCCTGCAACCAATCAGCGTGCTATGCTGGCTATGCTCTAAGCTTTCTTGGACGCATGACCATGTTGAGGCACAGAAGCCTGAGGACCCACCGCCAAGGTGGGGGGAAAGCTGCAGTGGCTCCTGTGAAGTGCCCTTCCGCACAGGCCGCAGGAGCCAGAGTTCCGGACGCTGAGACGCACACTTCCTTGTGCCTTGTACCTTGGTGTGAGCGAAGAGTCGTTTGTGGGCGCGTGACGAGGATCGGTTTGGGCTCGCTCTTTCCGAACTTCGATTGTCGAACAACACAGGGCCGACCCCTCGGACAAGGGCGCAATGCGGGAGCCGTTTCCGCATTTCTGCTCGCTAGGTGACTTTAGCTTCCATGCCTTTCTGGAAAAGCAAGCAGCGCATGGCTTCACCATGCTTTTCTCGCATCCCAAGGACGTAGGTTGAATTGTTGAAGCAGGGGGCAGTCGGAAAGTCAAGTCATCCCAGCAGCGTCTTGACCAGGACTTCACCCCAGTTTGCACCACAGAGATTGGTGCATGCCAAGTGCTGGCGAAGGACTTCCAGCGGCGTGGGGTCAAGCGCTTACGAGACAAGAGCCCTCAAATGCTACTGAATTGCGTGCGCGCTTACGAGTACCGGTCCCTGTTTTGCTTTGGTTTCGTGAGGTGCAGCTGATCGGCCTGAGTTGCGACTCCGTCGAGCAGCATCGGAAATGGGCCGAGGTCGAGGGGGGTCAGTTTCCGAGAAATTTTCATCGCTTGTGGTTGTTCCAGCCCTGCAGGATGTGCTGGCCTCGAGGAAGATCACGAATTCCTCACAGCTGGACTTCCCCATCATCGCGGATGAAACTCGGGAAATCGCCAACTTGTTGGGCATGATGGTAGCTTGGCTCGGTTTTGTGGAGACTTCGAAGGCCCATGGGCACCCCCAAGCCGCGGCAGGATCCATTGGAGATAGACGACTTCAGCAAGCTTTCCATGCCTGCCCGAGCACTTTTCCTCATAGGCCCGGACAGGGGCCGTTATGGGGTGCCCGCCTTGCTTCGCTTCAGCCTCGGGCAGGGTCCTAAGGTAGGCAGGCCAGGAGATTGAAGTGCACAACCTCATGGTTCAGGCAGGTGCCAGGTTGAAGGATTCAGTTGGACAAGCAGGTAAGAGTGCGAACAAAGGCAAAGGCCTGGAGTTTTTTGGCGAGCAGGTCCCGACAAGCGCCTTCGCCTCACGATCCTTTACCCGGCCACCACGGGTCGCAACTTTGCAGAGGCTCCCGCACCAGAACAAGGTTGCGTGATAGTGAAAGTCAGGTGGACGTGTGGGACTCAGACTTGAGGCCTCGGGCCTGGAGCCGAGAAAGACTTAAATTTAACTTGAGGATTTTCGGAGGTTATCGTTGATTCACCGGCACAAGCGATCCAACAACAGCCACAACCTAGCAGCACAAGTGCGAAGTGCAGACACGCGGCACTGCTTCGATGCGCGAACCGTGATTGATGCAATGAATCTCACAAGACGACTCGCATGAGAGAGCAGATGCAGATCTCGGCAACTTTTGTGTCATGACAGGTGCTGCGGGTCATTGACTCTCTCTACCTCACAAGCTGCGCCCAGGTCGGTGTGCCGCAGGCATCGCTGCGTCACCACCCATGTCTTCTGATCTTGCTGAAGGTCGGTACTCCGGCAAACTGGCATCGAGGCGACGATGTTCTCCTCGCCATGAATGCACCTGAGGTGCCTCGGGATGGTTCCAAGCTTTCCACAGCCTTACAACGACAGAAAGCATCGCATCCTGCTGGCTCATGGTCATAACCATGCTACTGAAGATGTGCCGACACAGCTTGGCATAGCTACAACCACCAGCCATTCAGGGGCTTTTCAATGTGGCCAAAGAGGAGCCAGTGATGTCGGGCAAGCGCCGCTGGACTCTTCCTTGGTCGTGGTTGAGATTGAACTTCATTTTCAAGATTCGGGATGTTGTTCATGCAGGATGTCAGAAGCTCAAGCTTTAAGAGAAATCAGGAAGAGGCTTACTGAACTTCCTCAAGCTGCTGAGTATCGTCGGCACTGAGGCTATATGCGCCACTTACCACCACCGACAGTGAGACCCAAGCAGCCGATCCCGAATTTGGGCGAGGCGGGTGACCATCGCATATTTCTTCGCTCAGCCGTAACCATGCAAGGTTCCGCAAAGCGATACCGAGTTCAAGATCAAGTCAGACACCCAGCTCACCTGGATCCTTCTGGGAGCCTCGGAAGCTCCCTGAAGAGCTGATCGAAATGTCCTAACTCGGGATTTTCGGGATTCGGCAGGTTGGGCGCCATCTTTCCGAACTTTGACTGGCACGCCACGTCGAAGGGCATCAGCCGCTTCCACCAACTCTTGGATCGGATGAAGGTCCTGTTGAACGGTCTGCATGATGATGAGTCAATAATGACTATAATACTGCAGCATCCAATCCTGGCAGCCTGGCAGGGTGCCCTCACACTCTTGACGCTCGGTCTGCACCTGTGGAAGCCAACTCTCGACAGTCAAACGTTGCATGCCCTCTGCTTGTCTCACTCAACCCAGTATCTGTTGGCCACGCAACTTCGACGCAGTGGCTACGACGGAGTTGATGTGCTGCATGCAGGCGGCGACGGTTGGATTGAAATTGAGGCAGTGTTGTTACAGAGCCAGGAACCTCCTAACATTAAGCCACCGCGGCAGTAGGCTGATGCTTGGTGGAAGTGTTGCCGTTCCCCGAGTTCTGTTTGATGTATGCTATGTCCAGAAATGCAGATAGCAAGAACGACAGCTCCTTATCCTCGGTGTGTTTCGCCGCAGATGGGAGCTGATCTCAAGAAGCGGGGTGTCGCTCTGCGTCCTGGCTGACCTTGATCACCCGAGTTGGGCGAAGTGGCGTAGTGCATTGGGCTTTTTTTGCAAATGAGAATCCTCAGGGTTGGGATGACCTGCGACACGGTGGAGGTCAGGTCGTTGAGCCTTGAAATAAAGGCACCCAGTCGCTGCGAAGCAGCTGTCGATTTCTCATGCAGGACCAGAAGAGCTGGGTGGATGACTGCCTCGTTCTGGCGGGCCTTGGAGGTTCCACCGAGTACCCGACGATGATTCCGGCATGCTGGCTTGCACTCAAGGGGGATCATCGTATGGGGTTAAGGTTAGGTGCATCTTCCGCTGCTTGCCAAAAGCCTTCAAGGACAAGTCGCATCACATTGCCCACGAGCTTGGCACCTTGTCTACAAGTCCTAAGTCTTCCGCTGCGCTGTGTCTCAAGTTGCATTCTGTGCCCTGCTCCCTCACTGTGCTTGCATAAAAACGTGGCTGGAGTCGCGGTGTTTAGCCAAGGCCTGCTTCCTCGTGGGAAAAAGGACAAGGACACTTCGCCGGCACGGGTGATGTTCGTGCTTGACCAGCAGAAGAAGGTACGACTGAGCAGCTCGATCCAAAGCCCATCGAGGGCTGTTTGAATTTCCCTCGTTGCAGAAACATGTTGCAAGTTGAGAGTGTCAGAACATTCGCGCTGTATGGTTTATATGCTTATCGGGGCTAGTTTCGTCAGTTACCTCTGTGTCTTCGAGGTATGCAATATCCTCAGACCACTGGCTTCAACTTCTTCGAGGTGTTGAGAGCGGAGCTCAGCATTGCGTAGGATTTAGCTGCCGAGGCTTCGACACTGCGTCGGGGCCATAGAGTGTGCCAGACGAAGAGAGGTCTGAAATGTCGTCGGCGATCTTTGGTCTGAAGATGCTTCAGATATTAATCATGGGGATGTCCCGGTTCTCAGATATCCAGGAGCACTGGACGCCTTGATTCTGAACAAGGCAGGATTCCTTGACGTCTTGCAAAGCACATAGGCCGTAGGGGAAGGACGTACAGCAGGTTGCTTAGGATCCTTGTCGTGTCTGTTTCGCTAACTCAGTGCACGGAGTGATGCTGAGCCGCACAGTCCTTGTCGCATCCTCGACGACAGGACTTCGAACTGAACACCCCAGCCAACTGGCAGATGGGAGATCGCGTCATCGTTGACCCGAAGGTGGGTGCTGCAGACGGACTTTCGCAATCATCTCATGGAGCTATTCATGCCTGCTTTTGACTTGAATGTGGGTGGATACCGGCTGCGAGCCCCTGCTCAGATGAGTACGAAGCAAGCCAACAATCGCTTCCGGAATTTGGAGAGTGTGGTGCTGCCCAGCGCAGCTTGGACCAACTCTTTCAGATTCGATTTCCTGCCCACTGCATTCAATTGCTCACCTCTGTGTCGGAGTTCTGAAGTGAAGCCCGCGATGGGTCTTCATACAGCTCAGGCAAGCTGGACGCCGCCCAAGGAAGACTACCTCCGGTGGCCTGACCGTGCTTAACGCTCGGAGGAGTCCGAGCTCTGTCAGATGGACCTGTCCGATGTCTCAGGTATGTCGATTGTCCAGAAAGAACGGGGCCCATCGCGCAAGAAGAGGCGGCGTGCAAGCACGGGAATATTGGTCAGAAGGGATTGCCAAGCATGTGGTGAATCTGTAGCACCAAGAAGTTCAAGAAGTATGGCATACTGTATTCGCTACGTGCTGCCCAAAGCACAGCGGCACCGTCCAGAAGTCTCGCGCACCTGATAGGCGAAATGGGTACCGAAGTTATTCGGGCAACGGATAGACCCCAAGACTCTGGTTCAGAAGTTCAATGCCGTCCACGCAGGTGTCACTGCCTGCGGGTTCTTTATTTGGCGCCCTCGCGTGGGAGCCGCGAGCCATTCAAGAATCAGTCAGCTTCGGTAGGAATTGTGACATCGCAGCATGTCGTCCAAGCTCCACAGTGCAAGCGCAACCTACCAGCTGCACAAACATGTACATGAAGACTTGTCAGCCGCTGTTGCTTGCTTGGCTTGCTTGCTTACTTATTCACTTTTACTGACTTGCGCATGTTGCAACGGTAGCCGGTCCAAAGGTACATGAGGTTTACTAGTTACTAGTGTTACATGCGTGCGTGCACATCATGTTCACGAATGTGCATGTGTCTATCTCTCAATCATTCTGTCTATCGAGCGACCTGGCTACCCGCTGCCTATCTACCTATCTACCTTTCAACCTATCTACGTATGGACCCATCCGTCCGTCTGTCCGTCCGTGCATCCATCCATGCATCCGTCCATCCATCCGTCCATCCATCCATCCGTCCATCCGTCCATCCATCCATCCATCCATCCATCCATCCATCCATCCATCCATCCATCCATGTATGCATGGATCCGTTCATCCGCTTATGCAAGCATCTACCGCCTATCTACCAGGGAGCGGGCGTACAGGGCGCCGTGTACTTGCCAAAATGAATAAAAGGGCCATGGAACCTCGGTTTTTGCACGATTTCGAGAGCACCGAGGTTGCTGCGCATCATGGACATTGATCATCGCCATCTTCGTCTTCATGATGATGGTGATCATCATCGTCATCATCCTCGCCATCACACTGTCCTTGTGCAGTCTGCATGAAATCACGATGTTGTGCACGCAAGCAAAAACGCTGTAACTACCAGTATCTTGGCGCGCTCGCAGAAGGCATGAATGCTACAGTGCGTCTAGTTGCAGAAACGTCAGACATCCTTCTGCAGTATGTTGTGAAAAGTGTCAAAAGGGCTATAAGTGCCCCAGTTTCTGGGCATGGTCGCTGTAAGAACCGATGTCATTATGCCCAACCCCAACTCCATAGAATCTTCCAAAATGTCAGGAAAATGCAAGAATGAGGAAAGTAACAGAGCGCCCTGGCGCGCCCGGCACCAGCTACAGACGTGTTTCTGTACATGCTGATGTATGTGCGCATGCCTGCCTGTATCTCGGTCCCTTACTTATTCGTGTATACATATGCGTACATTACATACATACATGCATGCACACACCTAAAGAGGTATGTTTGTTTAATATGCATTACACGTGAGTGTACGTACGTGGTGGGTTAGTCGTCGGGTGGGCGTGTATAATAAAAACATGCAGCCATGCAGACCTAGAATCGTCTCTGCTTCTTCTTTTCTTTCTTCCCCTCTGTCCCTCCCTGTGGCTCTCTGCTGCCTTTGTGCTGAGGCCAGTGCCACAGAGACGCAAAGTACCTCGGCAATGACTTTTCGCTTACATGCAGTTGCACGAAACCAACCTGGGAGGGTTTCGACATTGAATGGAGCATGGTGTTCTTGCCTTGTCTTCTGGGGATTTGAGAACGCAGAGCAGCGCATGTTGGCCAAGTTGGCAACCGCGTAAGGACAGTGGTCAGGCAGAAAAGCCCAAGGACGACGAGCTTGAAGCATCTTGGTAGAGAAGCTTTGGCTAAGCTGGGGCGCTGTTAAGTTGCGGTCATGGCGATTCGTTGCTTGCCTGGGTGGGAGCACTTGGCATGACAGCTGGTAGGAGTTTCAACCGTTGTCCACGCTGTCCTTCTCTGCCCGACCACCTCCACTGCCCGAGGTTTTATGCACCGGGGAGTGGTGCACCTGAGTCCACTCATGGTGCGCTGCGAGAAGCTTTGTACAGCAACCACCGATGGGCTGGTACCTCTGTGTCCGTGTCCAGATAATGTGTCAAGGCGACGTCAGGTGCCGTAAACAGTGCAGCACCTAGCAAAGCGGCTGGTGTGGAAATTGTGGCCACACGGTCCCCAAAGCGTGGACCGAGCACTCACGCCGGAGCAGTCTTGGCAAAGCCCTCATTTGCTCCAGCATGAGCCATGGGTCACCAAAATCACTGCAGCGAGAGCCTGGTCGTTTGATTTCTGCATTCTTGCCCTTCCCCGTCACAGCGGCCTGTCAACTGGCACTCAGGTTACATACAGGACATGTCGACGAACGGCACCCGCCTGAACGGCAAGCGCCTGCCGAGACCACCGTATAAGCATCCGATGGCGGCCTGGTGCGGAATCTGGCTGTTTGACAGATGTAAACAGAAGTCAGTAGGATCGGGCGCAGGGGCGGAGACTTCGCGAATTTCCGGTCGAAATGATCCGTCTGAAGTTTCAATGATCCGTCATGATCTTCCTGTCCCAGGATGCCCGGGTACGAATCTTCCACGGCGACGAGCTGGTCCTGTCTCTCACACCAGAGGGTGCCCAGCCTGACCTTAACCCTTAGTCGTGATGTAGATCCACGAACCATTGCCAGCAGTGAGCTAGAAGTGGCCGGGGTTTAGGGTCTTCAGGCCTCTTTCATCTTATCCGTGGAAGCACCTCCCTAGACTGATTCGCGGCGGATAAGGAGAGGAGCTTGGCTATGTTGGGAGCTCAGACGTGGCATTCGCAGCGGAAGTCATGCGAAGCAGGCTTGCGAGGATCACTGCATGACTAGATGCCGGCACGGCGCGGATCGAATTGTGTAGCCGGTCGTCCTTACAGAATGCCGCTGAACGAGGTCATAAATCTCCATGAGCACGGAGCTCAGCCCGTGCGAGTGCGGCGGCGGTGCAAGATGACGGATCACCCGCACGCACAGACTGGATGGCGAACAATCAAAGGCACTGTGCATTTGCAGAGCCTTGCTACGCCGAGGGCACAGGTTTCCCAGTGCAATCACCGTGGCCATGTAGAAACGGTCAACTTCGGGCTCATTTCAATCGCTGTCCATGTTCGTGTTGTTCCCACCCTTTACACTCTCAGCCCAGAGTCAGAGTGCCAGCCCTGTCGGTTCCCCTTCCGCCTTCCAAGGCTGAGCGGGTGATGCGACATGCGGTGACCGGGGGAGTCGTTCAGACGAGAGCTCCTTAGGTGCCAACCCGCTCCCATACCTCACACAGCGGCGTCGGGAAGTCGGCTTGCCCTGGGTCGCAGCGGCTATAGATGTGGAGCCCAGGCCTCGAAATCCTGAGAAAACAAGGAGAAAAGGCATGTTGCGCCTGTGCATGTGATGCTGGCCACGGGATCGCCAAATTCTTAGGAGGAACCACACGCTAAGTCTTCCTCGGCTGCATGTCAGACTTGTATCCTTGTATCTTCTTACCTGTTATGCTGCAGCTGTCATATGCAAATGTTCGCATCGATTGCTGTATAGAAGCATAGTCGGTGAACGCAATCCTTGAATCAGGCGCCAGACGGAGTCGATGTCCTGCTCTTCGTCATGAAGAAAGCCGTGCTCCCAGCTACTTGTAGTCTTTCTGTTCAACATGTTCGGTCTTGCTCAAATTGCGAGTGCCAGCTTGGAACCAATCAGGTGGTCCAGGATGCGCTGGGAGTTGGAACGACAGGCCAAAGAAAGAGCACGTCAGGACGACCTCGCCGGTGCAGGGCTGCTCGATTGGCCCCCAGATATTTAACGCGGCCAAATCGCAGGACTTGGAGAACGTGGCCAACGAGATTGTCGAGCAAACTGAAACGGAGGCAAGGCAAATGTGTAAAGCGGTTGTGCCTTTTCGTGCCATACTGTCTGCACCCTGCCGTCAGGTAGTGCAACAGGCGGGAGCCAAGCAAGGAAGGTGATGCAGTGTCATGTGAGATGCCCCTTCGTCGGGTGCCCGTCATGCGAGCCGTCGCTCTTGATACCTTCGCAGACTCGACTTCTGAAGTGCTGGCTGGGTCTGACTCCGCTGGTCGATGGCTTTGCTGGCATGCATCAGCAATGCTACCTAGAACAACAGGGTGGAGGCTTGGTTCCGAGTAGCATGCGGACTTCCGACGGCGTCCTCGCCGTTTTCCCGTGATTGAACGATGTCGACACAGTGCAGCGGCAGATCGGAGGTGAAGATGTGTGCATGGTGAGGCTGCCCCACGCAAGCAGAGGATGGCAAGATATGTAGCAACACAAAAACGCCGTCGGGATGTCTGCGCTTCCGCGGTGATCTCGGGGTTGAGGCCGTCCGGCCTGCTTGAATGACCTGCTGTGACGAGCAGTTCCTTGTTTCACCCCCTGGGGCAAGGGAGATGCAGCTGACGTCAGCACAACAGCACGATCTCAGCCCTAGCCAGCTCGCTGCCGGAGACTTCCAGGTACAAGCATGTCCGTGCACAAGTTGGTATTCAGCAATAAGTAGCACGGGGTTCTGATGTCGACTGCATTGGAAGGGTCCAGACGGTTGCCTCACCATGAGCTGCAAGCAAGTCGGATCGAGTAAGAAGGTCGCAGCGCGTATGCGAAGTATCTTTAGACGCTTCGACTTGCAAAGGTGGTTCTTGCAGCTGAAGGGTCGTGACAGCGTTGACCAGCTTCAAGTCCCCCGAAAGGCTTCTTCGATGGTAGTCGGACAACCACACTAATATCCTGCATGCTGTCAGATGTCGGCACATCCTGACAGAAGCAAGAGCGTTGCATGTAGTATCTGCGATGTAGACACACCGGCGCCTGCCATGGCAGAGACGGCCGACGGCAGCTCGGCAACCGCAACGGTGCTTCCCTCAGCGCTGTGCTGCGATGCAGATCAGTTGCTGAGCAGAAGAGAACTCAGGTGATGCAAGATGAAGTTGCCGATAAAGCTGCAGCTCATGATGATCCAGCAAGGAGCTCTTCCAAAGCCGATGAGCCCGTGGCACTCAAAGAGAAGGAACAGCCGGCCACTCCCGGTTCTGGAGGCCTCTCATGCAGTGTTGGCTGCCGTGCACTTTGCCGTCGTTTCATCCAGGTGCTTTTTTCTCGCGAGCAGGGGTAGACATGGTAAACTCATCCTTACATTCTTAATGCTTTCGGTCTGTCCATCCCGCTTCCTGCTCTCGACTTTGGATTCGGTGGTGCGAGAGTCAAAGAGGAATCAACTCGGAGTCAAAGTCCGCCCGTCTTCTGCATCAGAATGAATTATAATGGGCCTGGGGCGATGGGTTTTGGCATGAGAGGTCCACATGGCCATCCTCCAGAAGCGGGAGATGAAGATCAGGAGGCGGTTTGCAGAGTTTTCAAAGGCCTGTTTTCGTCAAACATCACGCCTCTCAGGCCGGGAGGCGAGTTCGACAGCTCCAAGAGACCCTCGGCATTCAGTTCATGCTCAGCGGGGTAGTGTCTCACAGCTGGACTTGCACGCAAGCTCTGGTGTGGGGTGTTGCAGCATCGGGCTGGATAGTTTAAACGGTAGCCTGCCGCGATCTTTGGGATTGGGATTGGGACCGCATCAGTTTATTGGCCTTGTGGCTCGGGTTAGTTTCCCCCTGGCTTCTTGGAGGCAGCAGTGGCTGCAGCACAGGATGCGGCAGCGAATCTGCCAGGGCCTTGCCAGCGAGGTGGGGCCTTGCAGTAAGCGTTGCGAGTTCTTTGGGTTGGGAGCTGCGACGTCTGAATTTGTCAACCTGAGCAAGACTGCCCTATAAGCCGGCTGCTTGAGTTGCCGCAGACGGGCATGAACTACTCCTTCCGGCTCACACCGTCTTGATCCGTTTTGCTGTAGTGGCGCGAGTCGAATTGGGATTGCGCACATCCGCTGCGAGTTTTTGGTACCCGTAACTCTGCTCGTGCTTTTCAGCGTGCAGCAGCAACAACTGCACTTGCCATCCTAAACAGGAAGTTGTTGTGCCAGGATGTGACGGCTCCGCCATGTCCTCCGCTCCTTCCCATGCAGGCACATACTGAGACCCGAGACCCTTGCATGCGTGTTGCTGCCTTCGTGAATGGATGTGCAGTAGCAAACGCGAGTTCGCAGAGAGCGCGAAGCATTGCAGGCACAAGAATATGCCGGGCAAGCTGCGTTCGACGGCTTGCCTGTAGCGATCACAGGCAGGCCCAGAGCAGCAAGCGCGTGTTTCTGGGCTCGCACTCTCGCAGGCCCGTTCCGAGAAACGCCGCGAATGGATCCACGCGATGAGCAGGCGAGCTTGAATTTCAGATGTTTCGCACTGCAAAAGCGTAATCTTCAAGTCGTAGTCAGCATCAGTTCGCCGCCGTGAGCTGTCTGATGTTGACAGCTTCAGTCCGATTAATTAGGTGTGGGCCGACTTCAGGTCTGCGTTCAAGAAGTGGGGCACCCAAGTCGTCCTCCAAGCAAAGGTCGCATCAGAGCAGCTCCTCGGCAACTTGCTTGCCCCGTACGGATGAGGTACATGCTCCAGTTGTCAGAGGAAGCGCTGCAGCAGAGCTTACCTCAGGCTGTGCCTGACAGCTCTTAGCTCTGGCTGGGCGATCTTCGAGTTCAGCATTCGAAGGTGGACTTGCGCCGGATGAGGTTCTCTGCTAATGCCCTCGGTGGGCTGGTCAGTGGCCAGGTCGCGCACTCTGGATTTTTTGCGGGACGAAACAGGATGAATGCTCGCAGGGCCTGCGGGTCCCGGTTGACAGTAGAAGTCCCAGCCGGGTTCAAGCCGTTACGGCTTGTGTCTGTTACTCAGTCCGGGAGGCACTGAACCTGCGCCAATAAGTTGAAGGCGACGTATCAGAAGTGAGAGCGAAATTCTGGTCGTGTGAGGCTTCAGGTGAGTGTTGCAGTGCAAGCAGAGGCTCGCCGCAACAGTGTGCAGGTTTGCATGAACTACTTGAACCACGCCTGCCGGCGTGGGCCGTGGCCTTAGAACTGTGACCGACAGCTGCCTGGGATCTTGTTTGAGCATGACTTCGTAGGCTGCGCTGCATTGATCGTCACCCTCCTCGAAGTCAGTGGGCGAGGCGAGCTGTGAAGCCTCGAGGATTCCACTGTCGACGGTAGTGAGAGGTGTCGATCTGAGCTGAAGCGGAAGCAGTGCCCCATGGGCGACCAATGCTTTCTGCCTTCGTGCGAGCCTGAGACCGGCTTTTGGGAAAACCCCGGAGCGAGCCTTGCGCTGCCTGAGGTGCCTCTACTTCCATCTCAGAGAGGGACAGGACTGTGCTACCCCTCATTGTGCAGAGTCGTGTCCAGGTTGCAAGTGCAATCGACCAGTCGATACTCGAAGCAACGTTGCTACTGCACCAGTGTTTTTGAATTTCTCGAGCCGGCATGCTGGATCTCTCTGCAAACTTGAAGAGGCAGCGCGGCCGCGTGCCAACAGCCTGCAGATGCATGTTAATATGCAGGAGTGCTGCGGGAGGGCGAAACGTCAGCTTGAATCGACTGTGGAGAGTATGTCACGGAAGCTTGCCTCCCAGGGCTGGCGGAATCTGGCGAAGATACTGACCCAAAGCGTTTTCCTCCTTCTAGTGGGGCGACCCTGCGGGCGAGTCACGAGTTGCAGGCGCGGTTGAAGAGCACATCTTTTTTAGAGCACCACGACCTTCCAGCGTGTCACCACGAGATACGATCCGTGGCCACGGGTGACACATTGCATGTCCATAGCGCTTCAAAACATCTCAAAGCGCTTGGGACCCCACGCTCGGGCACCTGGCTAAGGGGCCATCGGACAGATTGTGCGCAGAGGACGATGTCTTCGTGGTTTGGCTGAAATAAAGCCCGCTTCGCGCGCCGAATGGTGGCCACTCTCTTCGTTACCACGGATCAGAACCTCTTGCCTCCGAATCCAAACCATGCGGAAGCTGGCTGCTTCGGATTGTGAATGGGTGGGTTTCGGGATGTTTCGGGGTGCGGTATTCTACGACCTTCTTGCTTCATGAATCCTCGCCCACCAGCTATCGTCCGTCCCCCACCCCGAGCTATCTTCAATTATTTGCGTTGATCACACGGCCCCACCATCACAAGCAAAACCGTTATCAAACGGTAATCCTAAGAATACGCCGTCGCCCAAATGTTCTCCATTCAGGACAGTGCTTCACATCAGGCCGAGAAGGAGTGAACTGCTGCAGCAGACCGAACGAGCCTGTGGCGGCGCAGCGCTGCACCCGCGACAAAAGGTTATGTCAGTTTTGACAGCTTTGTCTTGGGTAGGGCCGCGCGCCCAGCCCTTCACTCTCACCTTTGTCTTAGCAGCTACCGAGTGCGAGTTCAATGTTCAAGTCAAGTGTCCGCAGGGCAAGGCATTTGCAGTGGGCCCGAACCTGGCGTGCATCAGACGATCAAGAGGTCACTTCACTGAGACTCTACTAAGTGTCCGTCGGAGGCGGTGCATAGCGCAGCTTCTTCCCTCAAGCCCGGGTTCCAGGGCTTTCTCGGCATCGCGGGCCGCGGGGTCGACTCCCCAGTTGAAGCGGGGACGACTCGACTCGAGCCTGGGATTGAGCGTTGCTTGTGGCATGAAGCGCGATTGGAGGCGATACGACAGGTGAGCATAAATTGCCTTAAATGCCATAGTGCAAGTCTAAGTGCAGCCATTGCAGCTGCTCTAAGTCTTGAGGCCCAGCTTCGTTCCTGAGATGCAGTCTTTGAGTCATTCGATTCAGTCCCTGTGCCATACGGCTGGGATTCCGCATGAACAGAACAGAAACATTTGGTGGAGATACATATCGCGTAGATGCATGACCACACCTCCAAACAAGATTCGGGCTGCACAGCAAAGTCTAAGAAGCTTTGCATGAGGATTGAAGTCCTGGTTCTGACCTTTCCTAGAGACCTTAATTCGTTCAGTATAAGCGAAATCGATGGCCGGCACTCGGTGACCCTTGCCATGGCCTTCGCTCGACGGGCGCAGAGCGCGCGCCCCGCAGGCAAGGCACCGGTTTGGTTCAGGATGGTTCAGTTTTTCAGGCGTCCTCAGACATAGGGAGCCACGCGACCGAACTGGCAGCCGGCGACGTCTGGAGCTTCGGAGATGTGGATCACGTGCGGAACTGTAGTGGTTGCGCGGCAACCATCTGCAGTTCTCGGAGGCAGCATGTTCGAATGGAACAGCTGCAAAAGTAACTTTGTGTTTGTTAGAGGCCAACCGCGGGAGCAGCGCGTGAAGTTCGAGGCTGCAGCGAGGCGTCGGAGCTTTTGGACTTGTATCGGCTTCCAGCGAGTTGGCATCTTGGCAGGTCGGGCTCCGTCAATTCAGCCAAGCGTGCTTCGGCAACGAAGTAATCGACGGAGTATCGAGAAAAGGGCCGTCGGACGCCGTAGGAGAAAAAGGGCCGAGCCTCTGTGCGCTTCAGGGGCGGAGCTGGCTGCCCCGGTGCGGAGCAGGAGGGGTGTCGGAGTCTGTCGGAGGGTGTCGGTGTTACTTTGCAGTCAAGGCATTTTCAACCGCGGAAAGGAGCGCCAACTCCCTGCACGCACGGGATGTGTCCTTCGGACCGATTCCATCAAGCCTGGGGCTTACGGCATGCGACCTTTCGAAGAACAGGACAGTGACAGCCTGATGCAGCGAGGCTCTCGGTCAGTCTCACGGACGGCGCAAGCCGCCGCCGAGAAGGATCCAAAACACAGCAGCTGGCCTGCATTGCCTGCATGGATCCCGGACTCCAGTTAATCTACGCCCGGGCGCAGGCTGAGTCTTGGGACAGCAGACAGCATCGCTGAACAGCCGAGGGTCCCGGTCAACAACACCATCCAATACAAGGCCATGCCCAGCTTTCAGTTCGTAGAATTGGCTGAGCAGAACTGCTTTTTAGAAGACCACCCAGACAATCCAAGAACCATGTTTTGATCCGTCAATACCGCTGCATCCGTTCCATCCAAGCAGGGACAGAACACCTTCGACTGCAGCTTCCTCCGCAACTTGGAGAAAAGTTGAGAACTGAGCGAGATCTGGTGAAGGCCCGTGCCGGATTCGCAAATTTGCAGCCACCGTGCTAGATGCCAGCCTGACCTGCCCATCTTCTCTAGGCAAAGACGAAGTCTCCTTCCCATGGGCGCGATGCCACCCCGCTGGCGTACAGAGAAAGCGGCCTCTCAGCTTATGCCCGTGGCGGGCTGTTGTGGGCAGATCAGCGCAGAAATGACAGGCAACTTTCTGGTATGTCATGAGTCAAGATTTTGATGCCTTTCAGGGGATTTTGTCCAACCGGTCCTCGGTGCTGCTCACTGCACTTGGCGCTTCCTGGATCGTGGCGACCGTGGAAGCTCGAAGCCAGCACTTCGGCATCATTCCGGCTGTGCAAGAACCTCCTTGCGTCAAACAGTGATGTGATGCTTACCCAGAGACCCTGCCTTGTCCACTTCTAATTCACCTTCCACCTGGACCCGACGAAGTCAAGCGGGTGGTCGGACAGGTCGAGCCAGTTCCCGAGACCTCGAGTTTCTCTCGTGCGAAGCGGTTTGAAGACCATCATACGCAGGAGCCAGCTCTTGTTTGCACCCCATGCTGGGCCTTTCAAGGTCACATCTTGCGCTCTGAAGCGAGCATGGGCTTGCTGCTGAATTGTGCAAGGAAAAAACTTAGCTGTCTGGTGTAAGCTTCGCGAAGGAGCTATGGGAACGGTCCGGCAGACACCCGGTCCCCTTCAGCAAGCCGCAACCTGCCAAGCCTATAAGGCTGTGGATTTCGAAAGAGACCACAGGGTTCGGCTTGGGCAGCCACGCAGCCTTACAGAATGTATGTGACCTGGTTACCCAAGGACCTGGGACAGGGATGGCTTCGCTTCTTGTCTTCCATATGAAGAGAGCTTGCCCCGATGCTTCGGTTCAGGTACAGCATGGCCATAAGAAGCTCTGCAGCTTAGGAACTGAGTATGCAGGGCACTTTTCTTTAGGCCAAGTTACGCAGTTTGCGCTCCTATGCTGAAGGCTGCTTGCATGTAGAGGAGTCTGGTAAGGCTGGACGACCAGCGTCTCGACGACATCAGAGAGGCGCAGTCTGCTTTGAACGTAGCACGCGGAGTGTTTTAATTTCAGGCCAGAGAAGCGCAGACAGCTTGAACAGAGATAAAAACACACTTCCAAAAGGAAGGCAGTTGTTCAACGCTCGTGTCGGTGAAGAACTTTTGTTTCTCTCCATTTCTCTGTTTGCCCTGACGACACAATCCCTGATAGCCTGGCCTGGTAGTGCCCGGGATCGCAGTCCCCAATGCAAGAAGAGGCAAGCGATGCCTCATCGGTGCTCCCCACACCGCTTCTGGGCTGCATGATTCCAAACTGAAATGCCCTTGCCGGTAACCTCATTCTCACAGTATCTTCAGCGACTGCAGTACAGAAAGGCGGTTGCCGATGGGCGACCGTGTTGCTTTGCCCGTCGTGGTGTGCAAAACTGTAAAGGTAAGGGCCAAGTGTTGAAGTGTTGCCATGTGGTCTCTTCGCGCAGCCTCATGTCTGCTATTGCCTGCTCATGTCCTTGTGCAGTCGGCTACAATGGGGATGGCTCGGGATCTCAGTAGATCTGCACATGCAAAGCTGAGGCCGACACACCAGAGACTCGTCTGCAGAAATGTGTCACTCTCCGCGCCACCTTGACTCCAAGTTCGTCTGAAGACGAGTCAGACAAGGAGATGGCCAAGCTGGTTTGTGGAAGCCAGGAGCTTCTCAGATCCTGGGAACTCAAGGAGCAGGTGGGCACAGCAAGCTCGACCTCTCTGATTGGGTGTGACTGTGGAGAGGTTCTGGCACCCGTTGATGTTCGTCAAGCATGCCTGAGTCAGTGCATTCTATACGGAGTCAGGAATATCCTGGCATGGAGAAAATCTTCGACGGCTGCGCAGGCACCGGTCTCGTGGTCTTGTGCCGTTTGAAACGGATCCCACGCAAGCGCGGTCTTGCATGGGTTTGTGACAGAAGTGGATACTCTGCTAGTCTGCTCAGCCATGCTCGATGCCGGGCTCTATATACTATGGGAGCAGCCGGGGTCTTTCGCCAAGCAGCCGGCGATTTCTTTCGTTGCGATTCCGTGTCAGGTTTCTCCGACCAGGCCGCCGACGTGGATGGGCCCAAAGCTGCGGGAACTCGGCACTTTCACGGTGCGCCACATGCTGCTTGGCTGCAAGATGGAAACCAAGGCCACGAGGGCTTGGATTTTGCTTCAGGCACTTGCTCCTTCTTGACTCCTGCAAGGTGCAAGACACGCCCGGCTTGGAAAAGCTCATCTGCGGCAGCAACAAGATGTCTGAAATGAAGGCATCGGGAATCAGCTCTTTCGAGGGACTCCGGTGCAATGGTTTGCACTGAACCCTAAACCCTGGCAAGATGTTGTTGAGTAAGTAAGATGCAGCTTGCACCGGTCTTGTCTTGCTCTGGTGCCAAAAGTTGGCTAAAACCATGCGCACTGTATACTTTCGGTGTGCGCTGCGACGGCCCCTGTAGGATCTGCACGAACAGAGCCGCCCAGACTTGTCCAACATGTTTCAAGGCCGCCGACCAAAGATCACGTTGCATCGCAGGGCCAGCTACGTAAGTTAGCGGCTTTGAACGGGGATCTCTGATTCCTTATCTTTCATCGGATGTAGGCGTCTTCGGGGATAGAGCCCGGACCAGCCATTCAGAGCGTACAGAGTGCAGATCACGCTTGGTTACAGAGTTCTTTTGGCCCACCTTCGCAATTCCTCTGCTCAGAGATTAACCCGCTATGGAGACATTGCACCTGCTTCTCTTGTTTGCAGTTCCTGTGCCCGGACACCTGCCCAGTCGTGCCTGCAGGATTTGCTGGTCACAGTGCGCAGGACACGGCCACCAAGACAGTGCGATGTACAGCCGAGCGAAGGGTGCGAAATTGGCTCACCGTGGCTGCCTTGAGGACGAGGATGCCAAAGGGAGCGGAGCTCGCAGCAAGCGGTACTCTGGCCAGAAGGAAATGCTTCCTCCATGAGCTCATTGAGCTCTGATGATTACCCATTTTGACCCTGCCCAGGAATTTCTTCGGCGCGCCTCATGTTATGGACTGCGTCGGTTTGACTCGTTTTAGCTATACTCGTAGTTTGTATGACAGCAAGATAGGATTCGCAACTCTCCGACAATTTCCGCTCCACTTAAGTTTATGCAGGACACGCCTTTGTCCGGCATCCTTTGCGGAAGCAAAGAGCTCTCCGACGCTCGCCGGCAGTTGGCAGTAGCGTCGATGCAGCATCATTGCGAATGGATGCCAAGATGGTTTTGGTGCCGAGTCATGAAGCGTCGACGGAGCGTATGTCAAGCGACGTGAACTTCTTGCCGGTTCCATCATAGTCTTATGTTTTTGGGTGTATGTGTGTTTGCGTCCGTCTGCGCGTTTGGCAGTGGGCCACGACCTGTCTGGCAGGAACACTATGATCGGCATCACCAAAAGCTTGGTGACTTGGAGACAAGGAGACGTTCTGCACGAAGCAAGCTTGCCACATGTTTGGCCCA